GAGGAGGAGGAGGAGGAGGAGGAGGAGGACGAGGGGGAGGGGGAGGGGGAGAGCAAGGAAGAGGAGGAGGAGGAGGAGGAGGTGGAGGAGGAGGAGGAGGAGGAGGAGGAGGAGGAAGAGGAAGAGGAAGAGGAGGAGGAGGAGGAGGAGGCGGAGGAGGAGAATGAGGAGGTGGAGGGGGGGAGGGGTAGGAGGAGGAGGAGGAGGAGGTGGATGATGATGATGATGATTCTGATGATGGTGCTGCTGATGATGATGATGCTGAGGATGATGCTGATGATGATGACGATGATGATGATGATGCTGATAATGATGATGGCGATGATGATGATGATGATGATGATGGTGATGATGATGACGACGATGACGATTACGATGATGATGCTGATGCTGATGACGATGACGATGACGATGACGATGATGATGATGCTGCTGATGATGCTGATGATGATGCTGATGCTGGTGACGAGGCCGATGCCGATGCCGATGATGATGATGGTGATGGTGATGATGATGATGGTGATCATGATGATGATGATGATGCTGATGCTGATGCTGATGCTGCTGATGATGATGGTGATTGCGATGGTGATGATGAGGATGAGAGTGAGGTCGGGATGAGGATGCAGAGGATGAGGATGAGGATGGGGATGGGGATGAGGATGAGTATGAGGATGACGATGAGGATGAGGATGTGTATGATGATGCTGATGATGATGCTGCTGATGATGATGCTGATGATGATGATGCTGCTGATGCTGGTGATGATGATGACGATGATGCTGATGATGATGATGATGGTGGTGGTGGTGGTGATGCTGATGCTGATGCTGATGCTGATGATGATGATGATGATGATGATGATGCTGATGATGATGATGATGATGATGCTGATGCTGATGATGATGATGATGATCATGATCATGCTGTTGATGATTATGATGCTGATCATGATCATGATGATGCTGCTGATGATGATGATGCTGATGATGATGATGCTGATGATGATGATGATGATGATGATGATGATGATGATGATGATGATGATGATGCTGATGATGATGATGATGATGATGCTGATGCTGATGCTGATGGTGATGGTGATGGTGATGGTGATGGTGATGGTGATGATGAGGAGGAGGAGGAGGACGCGGCGGAGGAGGATGAGGAGGCGGATGAGGATGATGAGGAGGAGGAGGACGAGGGGGAGGGGGAGAGCAAGGACGAGGAGGAGGAGGAGGAGGAGGAGGAGGAGGAGGAGGAGGAGGAGGAGTAGGAGGAGGGAGATGGGGATGGGAGGGAGAACGAGGGGAGGGGATGGAACTAGAGGAACGGAGGAAACACAGGGGAAACTGGATGACACAGGAGAGAACATGAGGGGACCACACGATGGCGAGGGGGAGGGGGATGGGGAGGAGGAGAATGATGAGGAGGAGGATGAAGAAGAGGGAGGCTGCGGTATGAGGAGGAGGAGGAGGAGAAAACGGAGGAGGAGGAGGAGGAACAGGAGGAGGAGGAGGAGGAGGAGGAGGGGAGGAGGAGGAGTTAGACGAGGAGAGACGGGAGGGAGGGAGGAGGAGGGAGGAGGAGGAGGAGGCAGGAGGGGGAGGGAGGAGGAGGGAGGATGAGGAGGAGGGCGGAAGGAGGAAATGACGAGGAGGAGGAGGAGGAGGAGGAGGAGGAGGGAGGAGCGAGGAGGAGGAGGAGGAGGAGGAGGAAACAGCTACTACGAATACGAGAGCGAAGACGAAGAGGAAGGCGCATACTACTCCCACGAAACTCAAGAGGAGGCAAGGGGGAGGAGGAGAGGAGGAGGAGGAGGAGGAGGAGGATATGAGGAGGAGGGCGAGGAGGAGGGGGAGGGGAGGGGGAGAGTAGGGGGGGAAGAGGGAGGGGAAGGAGGAGGAGGAGGTGGAGGAGGAGGCGGAGGAGGAGGAGGAGAGAGAGGAGGAGGAGGAGGAGAGGAGGAAGAGGAAGCGGACGAGGGAGGAGGAGGAGGAGGGGAGGCGGAGGAGGAGGAGGAGGCGGAGGTGGAGGCGGAGGTGGAGGTTGGGGAGTGGGGGGCGGGGGTGAGAGGGCGAGGGGGGGGAGGGGGAGGAGGAGGGGAGGGGAGGAGGGGGAGGAGGAGGTAGTGAGGAGGAGGAGGAGGAGGAGGAGGAGCAGGAGGAGGAGGAAGAGGATGAGGAGGATGAGGAGGAGGAAGAGGAAGATGAATTTTTACCATAACACTAATAAGCATCCCAGTGCGACCCTACCTAGGAGTTGGAGCATTTAGGAAAGCAGCATATACATTTACACCGACAGCTTTAGTTACATCTACACCTGCATCTACATCTACATCTACGCTAGGTATGCTGCTATGCCAGGCTATGGCATGACATGCTATGCTAGGCTATGCTAGGCTAGGCTAGGCTGTGCTATGCTATGCTATACTATGATATGATATGGTATGATGCGCTATGCTATGCTATGATACGCTGTGCTATGCTATGGTATGATGCGCTGTGCTATACTAAGCAATGATATGCTATGCTATGCTATGCTGCGCTATGCTATGTTATGCTAGGATGTGCTATGATATGACATGCTGCGCTATGCTATGACATGCTAGGCTATGATATGCTATGCTATGGTATGCAATGATGCGCTATGCTACGCTATGTTATGATATGGTATGCTGTGTTATGCTATGCTATGCTGCGCTGTGCTATGTTAAGCAATGCTGTGCTATGCTATGCGAAACTATGATATGCTGCGCTATGCTATGATATGACATGATATGCTGCGCTATGCTATGATATGCTATGCTATGCTATGCTAGGCTGTGCTAATGCTGTGCTGCGCTAAGCTAAGCTAAGGTAAGGTCAGCTAAGCTAAGCTAAAGCTCAGCTAGGCTAGGCTAAACCAAGCTAAGCTAAGCTTAGAGTAGATAATCTAAGCTAAGCTAGGCTAGGCAAAGCTAAGCTAAGCTAAGCTCAGCTAGGCTAGGCGAAGCTAAGCTAAGCTAAGCTAAGCTAGGCTAAGCAAAGCTAAGCTGGGTGAACCCAGGGGGCGCGACTGGGGGAACCGCTCCCAGGGGACGGGGGAACCCGCCGGGGCGCTTTTCCACTGCTCCGGCCCCTTTAAGCTATGAGAGTAAGGAAACTTCTAGGCAGAGCTAGGTAGGGAATAAATAATAATACTAATAATTATTCCCAGTGCGACACTACCTAGGGAGTTGGAACCCCTAGGAAAAGCAGCATTAGTAGAACAGTAACGCTAAGCTAAAAAGCTAGCTAAAGCTAAGCTAAAGCTAAGCTAAAGCTAAAGCTAAAGCTAAGCCACAGCTAAGCTAAGTTAAGCTAAAGCTAAGCTAAAGCTAAGATAAAGATGAGCAACAGCTACACAGCTAAGACAGAAAGCTAAGCTAAAGCTGAGCAACAGCTAAGCTAAAGCTAAGCTACAGCTAAGCTAAAGCTAAGCTAAAGCTAAGCTACAGCTAAGCTCAAGCTAAGCTAAAGCTAAACTAAAGCTAAGCTAAACGCTAAGCGAACAGCTAAGCGACACGCTAAGCTACAGCTAAGCTACAGCTAAGCTAAAGCTAAGCTGAAGCTAAGCTAAAGCTAAAGCTAAAGCTCCCAGGGGACTGGGGGGAACCGCGTGGCGGGGACTGGGGGAACCGCCCGGGGCGCTTTACACTGCCCGGCCCCTTTAAGCTAAGAGAGTAAGAACCCTTCTAGGCAGAGCCTAGGTAGGGAATAATAATAATAATAATAAGAAGAAGAAGAAGACAAATAATTAGAACAAGAAACATACTAATACTAATAAGTATACTGATAATACTAATGATGATGATGATGATGATACTCTTCATAATTAGACGACGCAGAAGAAAAGGAGGAGGAGGAGGTGGACTTGGAGGTGGAGGTGGAGGAGGAGGAGGAGGAGGACGAGGAGGAGGGAGAGGAAGAGACAAAGGAAGAGGACGAGGAATAGGACAAAGATGAGGAGGACGTGGAGGAGGATGTGGAGGAGGATGTGGAGAAGGCGGAGGTGGAGGAGCAGGAGGAACATGAGTAGAAAGAGGAAGAGGACGAGGAAACGGAGGAGGAGGGTGTGGAGGCGAAGGAGGAGGAGGAGGCGGCGGGGGAGGCGGTGGAGGCGGTGGAGGTGGAGATGGAGGTGGAGATTGAGGAGGAGGTTTTGGGGAAGGAGGAGGTGGAGGAAGAGAAGGACGATGGTGATGACGGTGATGATGATGCTGCTGATAATGAATATGCTGCTGATGATGATGCTGATGATGATGATCATGACCATGGTCATGATCACGATGATGGTGGTGATACTGATTATGATGGTGATTATGATGATTATGATGATGATGATGATGATGATGATGATGATGATGATGATGATGATGATGATGATGATGATGATGATGGTGATGGTGATGGTGATGGTGATGGTGATGGTGATGCTGTTGTTGATGATGCTGCTCATGATCATGATCATAATCCTGATGATCATGATGATCATGATGATCGTGATGATCGTGATGATCATGATGATCATGATGATCATGATGATCATGTTGGTGGTGGTTGTGGTGGTGGTGGTGGTGAGGAGGAGGAGGAGGAGGAGGAGGGCGAGGAGGATGGTGGGAGGCAGAGGGGGAGGGGAGGGGAGAGTGAAGGGTAGGGGAAGGAGGAGGAGGAGGTGAGAGGAGGAGGAGTGAGGAGGAAGAGGAGGAGGCGGAGGAGGAGGAGGAGGAGGAGGAGGAGGAGGGAGGAGGGGAGGAGGAGGAGGAGGAGGAGGAGGAGGAGAGAGGCAGGAAGGAGGAGGATGGAGGAGGAGGAGAGAGAGGAGGAGGAGGAGGAGAATGAGGAGGAGGAGGAGGTGGAGGAGGTCGGTTGGGAGGAGGTGGAGAAGGAGGAGGAGGGGGTGGAGGAGCTGGAGGAGGAGTTTATGTATGGGACCCCGTCGAGCCCCCGCCCGTCACCCTCCGACCCCGCCCCCTCGAGGAGCCCCAGCTGGTCGAGAGGCAACCCGAGGAACGCCGCACGTTCACCCCCCACTTCGTCTCTCCGCAGAAGAAGCCGACCAACTGGATCCTGCCGCTGGCCGGCGTGTTCGCTGCGCTGGGCCCAGCGGCTGTTTGTTCGACCGTGCCAGGCTGCACATAAGAGTGGGAGAGGGTAGCGATGCCGTTGCTCGTCCTGGAGGGCTCACGTCGCCACGGCTGGGTTCGCTTCGGAGTTCTGGTCCGAACGCACCCCGGGAGAGGTCCAGGGAGTAGCGGTATGGGTACCTCTGGTCCCCCCAGCAGCACACCAGAAGAGGAGGGTGAACAGGAGGTTGGAGGAAGAGAAGGACGATGATTCGAGTAGAGTGAAGTGTTGCAGTCACAGGCGGACTTCCCGCAGCTATAGAGTCGACCCGCATAGGAAGGATTAACCATTTTCCAAGGTTCCCGTTGCAGCCTTCCCCTCCTGTCCATCCCAAGCGGCTTTCGCTGGCCAGGCTCGTTCGGAACGCGCTAACACGGCCCGTCAAGGCCCCCGCATCCTTGCCGCGCATCCGTGTGTGTAAAAAGGGTGGATTGCACTTCCCCGAGCAGCGTTTGCGCTGTGAGCGTTTTTTACTCCTGCTTCTGCCGATCGGCGCGGGCCCTCGCTCCCCCCCCCCCTCCCACCCCCGATGGAGTGGATCTTGGCTTTTCTTGGCGCCCGTTTCGAGCAGGCGGATTCTCCTTCCTGGAAAGAGAATGGACTCTACCCCCCCCCCTCCTCCCCTGGCGTTATCCGCCCCCCCCCTTCGGGTATGTAAACCATATATGAGTATGACCACATGTCCATCCGAAATATGAATTTACACTATCCCAGGGGGGCCGGTATCGCTCCCCCTGAGGTTCCCTCTATAAAGAACAATTCGCGGGGACATTTTTGTTCTAACCTAAAACTCTTTTGCGAATCCCTTGCGAACAAATTGACGAAGTGCACACGTGCGCGTCGTCGCGCGCGCATGCCGAAATCCTCCAAAAACCTTCGGTGTCGGAAGGATTTCGCAATCGAGTTTCCAAAGCAACATACAAAAACACAGGTTGTCGCAACACTGGTTTGCTAAAAAAGCTTACGCGCGAGCTCTTGCGAAATATTAAGAAATCCATAGGTTTTCCAAGATTTTCACAAAATGCTATCAAACGGGCTTCGCGCGCGCATGTCGAAATCTGTCGAACGCCTTTGCGCGTGTGCCGTCGCGAGAATCCTTTGCAAACAATGGGACGAAGTGCAGACGCGCGCGTCGTCGCGCGCGTATGCCGAAATCCTTCAAAACCCATCGGCTTCGGAAGGAATTCAACATCGTGTGTCAAAAAAACCTACAAAAACACCAGGTTTCGCAACACGGATTTTCAACAAAAGCGTGCGCGCGCGCTCTTGCGTCGTCGTCGTCGTCGCCGTCCTCCCTCCTCCCGCGTCGTCGTCGTCGTCGTCGTCGTCGTCGTTGCTGCCCGCTCTGGTTCACTATGTGCGTCTCTTCTTCCTTTCTTCCGTCAGCTTTCCTGAGCATCGTTTCTGGATGGGCTGCTGGGGATACTTCTTGTTGGTCGGCGGCCGCGCGACAATGGTCTGGCGGCAACAGGCGTGTCCGGGACTGCGAAGCGTCTAGAATTTACACAGGTTTATGGCTTTGGAGACGCGAATATTGAGTAACGTCCGAGGGCGTATGGCTTCGGACACGCGATTCTAGAGTACTTTACGAGGATGTATGGCTTCGGGGTTGAAAATATTGCGTCATTGACGCAGGTGTATGGCTTCGTGGACACGAATATTGCGTAATTTGCAAAAGCTTATGGCTTTGGGGGCGCGAGTTTCGCGTGATTTGTAAATGTTTATGGCCTCGGGGACGCAAGTACCGCGTAATTTACGAAGATTTCTGGTTTCGGGGACACATGCATGGCGTACTTGTGCGCGGGATTATAGTTTCGGGGACGCGAACATTGTGTAATTCGCGCGGGTCTATGGCTTCGGGGACGCGAGTACGGTGTAATGTACGAGGGTTTGTGGCTTCGGGGGCGCGAGTTTCACGTATTTCTACGCGTCCCACGCCCCCCCAGGAATTCAGAGCACCCGACTCGGGCGTGGTAACTCGGTTCCTTCTCGGCTCCCCCCCCCGCGCGGTCCATCAACGAGGAACAATACACAGCAAGAAACAAAACTGCAACAATGGAAACTGGAAGCTGGAACTGGTGCACGGAACAGCAAACCTTCGTCCTACAGCCTGGTGGCCCCACAAGGAGGCCAGCGGATTATGAACATCATTCAGGACCCTTCGGGTTGCGGCGGATTCAAGACGCTTCGCGTTCACCGCCCGCCCATTCTTGCTCTCGCCGGATGAGGCGAGGCAGCTGCAAGACTGGATAAACATGGACAGCATTCTGGCCTGGTGGGCGGCCTGTGCCCCGAGGTTGTCTGTGGTGTTGTCCCGCAGTTCTGTCGCCCGTGTGCGTTCGTTTGGCCGGATGGGTGACATCGTGGGGTCCCGATGGTTTTTCTTTGGGTATCCCGATGGGTGGCCGGGATGGTAGTCCCCATGATGCCCCCGATGGCTGGGGCGATGGCGGGTCCGATGGTTTGCCCGATGGCTGCCTGGATGATTGGCCCTCTGTTTGCTCCGATGTGTGTCGTTGAGCCGGATGGTTGACGTCGTGGCAGCCCCGATGGTTTTTCTATTGTTCTCCCGATGGGTGGCCCGGATGGTCGCCCCCAGGATGCCTAGATTGTAGGAGGCCAGAGATAGCCAGAACGGCGCCGAAGACCAGCCAAAGACGCCTTGGAAACGGCCCCAATGGCGCCAAGGAAGGCCGAATAGGGCCCGGAAAAGGGCCCAAAACGGGCCCAAGACGAGCCCGAGGCGGCAAAGGCGGGCTTCTGGACGACCCAAGCGCGAGCATCCCAGCATGGGACCGCAGCCCCGTCCGTCTTCCGGTAAAAACCTGGCCGGTTCTGGGCCGTTTTGGGCCCCGATTGGGGGCCTAAGTTGAGCCCGCTATCGTCCAAAATTGTTTCCTGAGCGTGTCCAAAGACGGTGTCGAAGTGCACACGCTGAAAGATGCACCAGGCGAGCCCGGAAGTCAGCCAGAAGAGGCGTCCAGGCGATCTTCGGCGAGGCGAAAATCATCCCAAACTGGTGGTGTGTTTGGCTACATTTTTGAGGTTTCCAGTCTGTACGCGTGGTTGAGCCCAAGAAGCGTTCTTGAGGGCCCCAGGAGTTGATTTTGGAGCCCAAGAGGGGCCCCGAAGGAGCCCAAATAGAGCCCACATGCGCTCGAAAAGTGTATTGGAAGCGGTGTGAAAATCGAACTCGTCTTGGACGCCGTTTGGAAGCCGTTTTGGGGCCGGAACAGGGGGATGGAGCGCAGCCGGGCGTCAGAACACTTCGGGTTGCGGCGGTGGGTTGCGGCGGGTTCAATCGCTTCGCGCCTTCCGCGAAACCGCCTTACAGGGCCTTCGTGTTTGGCACTCGAGGTTTGGATGCTTACTTGTTTTTGTCGTTGCATGTGTTTTCGAAACGCCGCTTTTCGGCTCATCTTTTCAACGCATCACGGTTTGCTCTTGGCCGCCGTTGGGCCGCTTTTTGTTTCATCTGTCGTGATTGTTGTTGTCTCGTTTGCACCCTTGTTTCCCCAACGAGGCATTGCCTAAATGGGGTTCGTACTGATTCCCAAAGATTGGTGACTTGTGCCGCGCAAGTGCTCGGCCCGGTTTCCCGAGGAACCTTCCCCGGAAGGGTTCCCCGAGGATGTTTTCTTCAAACAAGTTTCTTCGGGCGAAGCCAGGGTTCCTCCAGGATTTACCCTTCAACAGAAAATATTTGGGCGAAGCCAGGGTTCGCCCATGATGTTCCCTTAACAAAAATATTTGGGCGAGGCCAGGGCCCCCCACGATGTTACTCCTACCATTTTCTTCATGCAAAGCGAAGCAAAGCAAAGCAAACAAAGCAAAGCAAAGCAAGGCAAGGCAAAGCAAATGAATGCAAAACAATGCAAAGCAAAGTATGGCAAAACAATGCAGGGCAGTGCAATACAAAACAAAGCAACGCACAGTAACGCAAATCAAAGCAAAACAGGGCAGAGCAAAGCAAAGCAAAAACACAGCAGAAACAACGTGAAGCAAAACAAGGCAGAGCATAACACAGCAAAGCAAAGCAAATCAAATAATCAGAGCAATGCAAGGTTAAACAAAGCAAATCAATGCAAAGCAAAGCACTGCAAAAGCAAAGCAATGCAAATCAGTCCAAATCAAAGCAGAGCTGAGCAACACAAAACAATGCAAAGCAATGTAAAGCAATGCAATGCAATGAAAAGCAGAGTAATCTTTCTTCCGGACAAGAAAACCCCAAATCGGAGTCGCGTCTTTTGGTGCTTTTTGGTGGCCTCTTGAGCCTCTTGGGAGCGTCTTGGGGGCCCCTTGGGCCCTCTCGGGTCCCCCTTGGGCGCCTCTTGGGGCATCTTGGGAGTTTCTTGGGTCATGGGGCCGCTGGGCGGCCAGCCCACGACCTCAGGAGCGAAAAAGGGGCGTACGCGTAGCACGTGAATCCGTACTGCTTTCGAAAGTGCGCCATGCGCGAGCTTTCGTACCACGAGGCTTTTCTCGCGGATCGGGGGGGGCGTATTCGTGTACGCGGCTGGGCGCGTACGTCCTTTGTGGGCTCACGATGACTCCTGTCCTGGAACCAACGCGCGTGCAGTGCAAGGTGCGTGCTGCTAGCGTGGCCCTCTCTGTGGGGCCTCGGAGGCAGAGGCGGAGGCGGGGAAGCGCTGCTGCAAAGTCTTCTCTCCCGCCTGTGCTGAGCTGTATGCAGTCGGACCGAGGTACAGTCGGGGCCCTGAAGAAGGAACCCTTTTCGTTGGGGAGGGGCTCCGCGTTCCTTAACTGTGTTGCAGCTTGCCTCAGGTTTTCCTTATGCTGTCGATCGGAAATCGAAGCTTAACTTATGGAAAAAAGGGGGCCTCGTTCCTTCTTTAGGGTTCCTTAGGTCAACGCCCCGACGGTATAAGATCGAGGTCGGCTCGGGAAGGGTGCCCTCGTGCTCTCTCCGTGCTCGTCTGCTGCTCTTTGCGCCTCCTGGGGGGGGGGGCTCCCCGGACGCTCGGCTTGCTCCGGCCGGCGGAGGGCCTCGTGGCCCTGACGGCTGCCCTCCTGGCCCAGGCCCGACGGGATGCAGCGGTCTTGTTCGATGCTCGTTTCGGGGACCTTCCTGGAGCCCACCTAACGGATCTGTTCGACCCCAGTTCGACTCAAGTTCGACTCAAGTTCGACGCAAGTTCGACTCAGGTTCGACTCAGGTTCGACTCAGGGTCGACCCAACTCGACTGACGTTCGACGCAGCTTCGACGCACGAGTGGAGCGAGTGGCTCCAGGAAGGTCCCCAGAACGAGCATCCAAAAGTCTTGCAGAACTCCGGGAAATTCAGGCCGCTCCTCCTGCGAGCGGCGCAAGGAAACACCAGGCCGTGCCTGCCCCGCGCAAAAAAAAATGAGAAAAGCGAAAAACCCACCCCCACCCCCAGTCTCCGAACCCCCATTTCCGAAACCCTGATGACGGGGGGTGGGACTGGGGAGTAGGGGGCGTGGGTTTTATTCACGGCGGTCCAGGACATAAGAAAACCGCACCCCCACCCCCACAGTCCCGACCCATTTCCGAACCCACGATCTGGGGGGTCGCGGTCGGGACTGGGGTGGGGAGTGGGGTTTTCGGGGATACGGGAGAAGAAAACCACCCGCGCATTTGCCCCCAGTCCCGTTGACGCCCCCGGATAGAGCGGGCTCGGGCGGTGGGGCGTCGGGATTGGGGGTGGGGGGTGGGTTTTCGTCTTTCTCACAGAAGAATGGGTCGCGCGCCAAGAGCGCCACGGTCTACAACGTCGGCGCGGTCCGACGCGCCATATAAGAGCCCTTCTGTGGGCCTCCCCGCGCGGCGCCGGCCCGCCCCCCGAAACGGCGCACGCGGAGGGCCGCGCGCAGCGCCGCGGTGCCACGCTCGCGTAAGACCCACCTCGTCGACGACGACGAGCGACAGACGACAGACGACGACGACGACGACGACGGACGACGACGAAGCGCGACGACGAGCGCTACGGGGGAGCCCCCTGGGGGCAGTGTTTGGTGTTACCTCTTGGGGATTGCTCCTGGGGGCCGCTCGGGGGCTTGCGGCACACGTGTATCTCTGCTCGATAGAGCGCCGACCCGCGCCGGGCGCCCCCCGCGGCCCCCAGCGCTCCGGGGGCACTCACGCGCGGCGGCGTCGGCGCGCGCGCCTCGCCCGGCGGCCGCGGCTCGGCCGCGGCCCCGCGCATGCCGCCGCGCGGCCAGTGCCCCTCGCGCAGTTGATCGCGGCCGTTCCCTCGGTCTCCCTCGGCGAAGGGTCTTTTGTCGGAGGAGGCCACCGCGCCCGACGTGGGCTCGTTGCGGACTCGGCGCGGACTTCGGCGGAGTTCGGCCCGGAGTCGGCACGGGTTCAACACGGGTTCGACGAGTCCGGCATGGGTTCGTCACGGATTCGACGCAGGTAGGGGCGCGACGGGACCGAGAAGGTCCCCCGAGGATGCAACATGATGTCGCCCCCCTTTCCCTCCTCCCGCCCCTCTCTCCATTACCCTCCAGAAGCTGGGGCTCCAGGACCCTGGCACTCGGAGGGAGATTGGCGGGCTGCGAGTGGGCTCTGGCCGGCAGGCCGCCCGGCATTTTCCCCCGGTGGCCCCTCGGCTTGCGAGGCTTCCGCTCGGCCACACCGCCGTTCGGCGAGAGGCGCACCTGGCACCTCAGAGTCCAGCCGCAGGTCTCACTGCGACCTTCAAGGGAGGAACAGGTACACATACCGCAACCCGGGCCTCGTTTTCGCCTATTTGGGCCTCTCGGGTGGCCCTCGTCGCCACCGCTGGGTTCGCCTCGAAATCCTGGCCAGAACGCACGCCGGGAGAGGCCCAGAGAGCAACGGTATCAGTACCTTTTGGTATCCCAAGTTTTTCCTTTCTGTGCGACAGCGGGCGTTACCGAGGGGCGGGGGGCGGGGGGCTTGGTGACGTCACGTGTCGCCCGGGCGCCGTCTTGGAATGCTTGGGGGGGGAGGGGGGGGAGCGGCCAGGGCTGGTAACGGCCGCGATCGCGAAACATAAAACACACGCTCTCATGGCCCCCGAGAGTGCAGTGGAAGCCCATGCCAAGAAAAACCCTTGCTCGCCTCCAGGGTGCCCTGGGTTCCTCGGGTTCTGATGGCTTCGCCGTGGAAAGCGTGACGCCCCCACGCCGAAGATCACCGAGCGTCTTAAGGTCTCAGGCTTGGGCGCCTCGCGGAAGGCTTCCTTGTGCAGGGGAACAAACAAATGACATAAACATGACAATTCCGAGGTTCGCGCGGATTTCTCGGATCCGCGCCGAAGCCCCCTGGCGGCGCCTCCGGCGCCGCTCCTGGCGCGCCCCGCGCGCCAGGGAAGGGGGGGCCCAGGGCCGATCCGAGAGCTCCGCGCGGCCCTCCGAGAGTCTTTATGTCTAGGCCACCTCTTGCTCCCCTCTCTTGCGGTCGCAGCTCCTGCTGCGGCGCTGGGGCCCTCGCTGCCCCCATTTGGCTCCGCCCCACCCCACCCCCCCCCCCCCCCATTCGTAATCCCGCCACGAGCTCTCCTCCCCCACCCCTACCCTCCCCCTCCACCTCCTCCTCCATCCTCTCCTCCTTCTCCTCCTCCTTCTTCCTTTCCTCCTCCTGCCCTCCTCCTTCTTTCTCCTCCGCCTCCTCCTCCTCCTCCTCCCTCCTCCTCCTCCCCCCCCCCCCGATCCCGCTGACCAGGCGCTGGGGACGGTGCTCCTCGCCGCCGCGGGGGTTCAGCGGCTCTGCTGCAGGCCCGGGGTTTGCGGAGCGCCGGCCGCGCCCCGCCGGGCCGGCCTGTGCGTCGGGCGTGCCCCCCCTTCTGCAGGAGGAGCGCGCAAGCAGGCAGTGGCGAAGCGTCCGTGGGGAAACCACACACACACAAAAAACACAACAAAACACACACTGTGGGAAAACACACACACACACACTGTGTATGTTTTGTGTTCCCACAGTGTTTGTTTGTTTGCCCACAGTGTGTGTGTGTGTGTGTGTTTTCCCCGCAGGCGCGCCTGTAGCCCCACCAAACAATGTTCTAAGAACGTTCTGTGGTTTCCACGAAATGTTCTCAGAGCATTTCTGGCGGGGTCTGTGCCGTTTTAGCACCTCGGGTTTATGTTCTAAGAACAGTGTTTTTGTCCTTAGAACATTTTTGGGTTCTAAGAGCATTTCGTGGTATGACTATAGGAATGCCGGGACGGTCGGTCCTTGCTCAACTCAAGCACAGTCAGAAAATGGTCAGGGGATGATGGATGGACTATTTTTGATGCTTGTGTTTTGATAGTATTTGTTCGGCTATGTTTCACATTTCCCTCAACATCCGCCTGCAGGAGAACATGCCCGGCCTACAGCTGGCAGAGACGGGGGCCAGCGCAAGCGGCAAGCGGGGGTCAGCCAGAGCGCCGGATCTCGCAGGATCCTGCCAAGCCACTGCTGCACTGACCTGGACTGGCGCGCAGTATCCTGCAGGATCTTGGCATCGCTCGGACGTGTGCATTTTGTTCTCGGCGAGGGCCATCGAGGAGCCCTTTGGGTCGTCCTGCGAAAATATACGAGCACGAACTATCGAACCATGCACAGGGAATGGGCGTCCGAGCGATGGCGAGGGATCCTGACTGACCCGGGTTTGCATTGACCCAGGCCAGTAGAAGCTCGGGCGAGTGGTGAGGGGAGGGTGATTCACATGGGAGTTTAAAGAAAATTACCCTAGGGGGGGAATTTTCCTTTGGAGCGCTACGTGCCCGGCCGGCGCTCCCATCTCTTCCTCCATTGCTGCTGTAATCTCATCCGGCGGGGGGGAACAATGCACGTCTAGGATGTATCGCCCTGCTGCCTGCCCCCTGAGAAGTCGGAAGACCTGCGAGGGCGACATCGGCAACGTGTGGTTTTGGTGGGGTGGTATGGGCAGTCGGAGTTTCAGTCTCAGTAGGGTGCTTAGCGAGATGGCGAGGCGAACGAAGAGGCGATCTCGTTCACGCGCCTCGGCACGCTGATGGATCATTTTCCACACAGCGCACCAAACTTGAGCCAAAGTTTACGAACCACACAAAAATAAACGCATGGGCCAGTACCGAGCGAATGATGGGCCCATGTCCTCACCCTGCGGTGCTATGCCTCACTCATCACACAAGACGGCGTTAAAACAGTTAAGCCAATTTTCGACCCTTCGCCCAGACAAACCAGTATATTGGCTGTGCAGGCCTATCCTCTGCTGCATGCTGTGCTATGCTATGCCTCACGCTCCGCACCATACGACAGCAACGAACATGGGCGTTGGGGGTCACCGTTGGCAGTACGCAGCGTGAGACGGGACAACTTCGTTATATGCGTGTCCCTCTCTGCGGAACTCGCACCAGAACTACGAGGATGGGCTGGCATCCCCCAGAATCACAACACCTGCAAGCCCCCCGGCCCACGCTCCTCTCCGGCCCGCCGCGCCGCTCATACGGCGGGGGCGGGCACCGAAGCGATGCGAGCGCGGCTCGCGGGGCACCCGCAGTCATGCCAAGCGTTGGCGCGCAGCGCCCCAAGAGAGAAACTGGCATGGCCCCAGGCTCGGGCGCGTGCACTCGATGTGTCGGGCCGGACGAAAGGGGGGGGATTGGGAAATGGGGGGGTTACGAAATTTGCTGCATGCAGCTTGTTTCGGCCTCACCGAGGGGCCCATTACTCGATGCATAGCCGCCTCTGGCGCAGGGAGGCGCCGGGAAAATCAGCTGCGCGAGCTGACTCTCAACCCCCCCCTTGCTATCCCCCCCTTTCGCCCAACCCGAATGCGGCGGGGCGGCATGGCCCCGAAGCCAATCTTGCAGGTCAACAGCGAAGGCGCGCGAGGATGCTCGCTGATCCCTCCGCCACGCAGGCGGCTGCAGGCGGCGCGCGCCAGCAGCCGCTGCGGCACGGTCCAGCAGCTCGCCACTCCGCTGCAGGCCGAGGTGGGCGCGGGTGCGGCCCAGCACGGCGGCAGCGAACACCTTGGTCGAGCCGTCGGCCCGCTGCTCCTCCGAGGGGGCCTTCCTGAGCAGCGGCGTGCCCATGCCATGCCGACCTTGGCTGCGCAACGCTGCGGCTCGATCAGCAAGCGCACGCGTGCGCCGCCTGCCCTGCCCCTCGGCGACGAGGAGAGGCTGGCAGCGCTAGCACCCCAGAGCGTCGGCGTAGAGCCATACACTCGGGGCCCTGAGGAAGGAACCCTTCTCGTTGGGGAGGGGCTCCGCGTTCCTTGAGTGTTTCACAGCTTGCGTCAGGTCCTCCTTATGCTTTCGATCGGAAATCGAAGTTTAACTTATGGAAAATAGGGGCCTCGTTCCTTATTTTGGGTTCCTTTGGTCCACGCCCCGACTGTATGTGCCGAACGCGATGCTGGCCATGGTCGCCTCCGCGCCCTCCAGCATCGTCACGCACATGTTCAGGGCCGCGACCTCCGCCCCAGCGGTGCTGCGGGCCACCTGCGGCTGCTTCTGCCTCCGCCGGGTCGATCAAAGCGCCACCGCAGAAGCAAAACGACGCGAAGATCGGGACAACATCGGATCGGGATAACTCGAAATCTCTGAGAATCGGCGGGTTTGGAGGATGTATTGGGCGCCGCGGCCGCTCCAGAGCGTTCCGGAACGCTCTGAGAGCGCTCCGGAACGCTCTGGAGCGATTTATCCCGATCCTAGTCCTGTTTTAAGAAGACCGCCGCTCCTGTCTGAGCAGTCTCCGCCTCGACGCTGGCGCCCGCGAGCGCGTCCAAGCCGATGGAGGTCATCTCGGCGTACAGTCGGGGCGCTGAATAAGGAACCTTTTTGGTTGGGGAGGGGCTCCGCGTTCCTTAAGTGTTTCACAGCTTGCCTCAGGCTTTCCTTATGTTTTCGACAGGACATCGAAGGTTAACTTATGGAAAGTAGGGGCCTCGTTCCTTATTTAGGGTTCCTTAGGTCCACGCCCCGACTGTAGCCCTGCGCTGGGGTCGTCGAGGCCCCGGCCGATCACCGGGGCAGAGCCACGAGCGCCGATGGAGCACCGCAGAAGCCGCTTGCCCAGCCGCGGCGCCCATTCGGGATGGCTGCAGGCAGAGCTGCTGAGACGCGAAGTCGCGAGATACACGTCAGGGCGCGGCCTCGCAGCAAGCCACGGTAATCCTCCTGCCATCCGCTGGGCCGCGCGGGCGGCTGCTGGATCAGCGTCGCCATCCTCTGGCGCGCGAGGGCGCGGAACTGGCTCGAGCGCGATGGCGCGCGCGCCGCTGGCGCCACCCAGAGCCCACTTGGCGAGCATGTAGTTCAGATAGGGGCCCGGTGCACGATCGGCTCTCCAACCCCAGGTAGGGCATCTTCCCTGGCTCTCCCCAGCCGATCCGGCTCTGGACCGAGCGCGTACAGGTTGCCTTCAACAGCGACTCCAGCTCGCCCAAAACTCCGCAAGGACCCAAGCAAAGGAAGTCGTCAACGTAGACGAGAAGAAGACCGAGCAGCAAGCGGTCCGACTCCAGCTTCGGCTCCGCCGCAGCAACCACCATCCAGACACCGGGGTCGCACCTGCTCCGGACCAGCTTCGCGGGCACGCCGTCGACCAAGAATTGCCTGGCCCTCATGTCGCTGTCGCGCTTGGCACCCCTAGCGCTGGGGGCAATCCGCAGCCCATAGATCCCCTCGTTTGCAACCCATAGCACGTCTGGCCCTACGAAGCCCAAATCGACGAAGAGCTTGGGAGGACGAACGACGATGTGACCATCCTCAGGAGGAAGATGGGCATTGAGAAATGCCGTGCTCACCTCTAGAGCTTGGAGCTTCCACTTGCACCGAGCGGCCGCGACCAGGGCCAGGCGCACGCTGGAAATCTCGACGTTTTGCGTGTAGACGACCTCGTCACCAGGGCCTCCAAATCCAGGGGGATGTCGTTCAAGCGCGCGCGGGCCTTGAATGGGGATCGGAGGTCGGCAGACACTCGATGGTACGGGAACAGGCGACGAGAACACAGCACGTCATCGATCATCGTTTCACCCGTCGCACAAGTAAGGTCCGCGTCATTGCGGGCCAGGACGCGAGCAGGCAGAAGCTCCAAGACACCAGCATCTCCCAGGAAATCAGCCAACATTGACACCAGGAACCATGGGACCGACAGCCCACGGACAAACTCAGCAACCGCGCGAAGCCGAGACGCATTTCTTCAGACGCGCCGATGCTAGGGATGAGATAGATCACGCCTATCGCAGCAGCGCGCGCTTGCAGGCGTACCTCAAAGAAGAGCCAACCATCACCTGCACCAGCTTGCACGGCACCTCTGGTCTGCAGCGGCCTGCTCCCGCTGGCCGCGCCGGTCGTCCGCCTCCGCGCGCGTCGTCTGCTTGATCGCGGCAACATCGAGGGCGTTCTTCTGAGCATCCGCCTCGCGCGTCGCCATGCGAGCCACCTCGAGATTATGCTCTGCCTCGATGTTTTTTCGTTTCTGCATCTCCTCCATGGCGATCTTCGCCTTGTTGTAGCGGTCGAGCCGCCACTGCACCTCCTGATAAGCGAGGCGGTCGTGGCGTCCTCAACGAGTTTGGCGAGCTCCGTTTGCTCCAGCGCTGCCAATCGATCCGATTCCCCTTCAGTGTACTCACAAACCTCTGGCGCGAGCGGTGCTGCAGCGTCGCGTGCAACGCCAGCGAGGGCAGGATACTGAACAGACCAACGCTCCAGCTCTTGAAGAAGGTGGGGAGGCATAGGCACAGCAGCAGCACCATGAGCCACTCCGCAAATTCGATCCCAAGCATCAGCGCCAGGAGGTTGACCAGCACCCGACCATCCGAAACGTAAGCGCCACGCCACATATTGCAAGCGCAATGGCCGTGACGTACATACTCGCAGTGTTTACACAGATTGCAAACCACGTAGGAGATGTCCTTCGCTTTCTTCTTCTTTTTGCCCTGCTGCTTGGAGTCGGGCTGCCATGCTCAACTGCCCTGGCCGCGGCCGCTGCGCCAGGGACCGCCCGCGCGCAAGGCCATAACACGAGAGACAGGAGGCCTTACCTGCCGCGGTGACAGCGGTATCCAGTCAGGCACAGAGGCGCAGAGCCTCAATTGTGCATGCATCTCGAGCCAACATGGCTACGGAGGAGGAGGAGGAGGAGAAGGAAGGGAGGAGGAGGAGGAGGAGGAGGAGGAGGAGGCGAGGAGGACAGGAGGAAAGGAGGAGGAGGAGGAGGAGGAGGAGCGAGGAGGAGGAGGGGGAGAGGGGGGAGGGAGAGTGGGGGGTAGGAGGAGGAGGAGGACAACAAGGAGGAGGAAGAGGGGGAGGAGGCGGAGGACGAGGAGAACGAGGCGGACGAGAAGGAGGAAGCAGACGAGGATGAGGAGAAGGAGGAGGAGGTTGAGAAGGAGGAAGCGGAGGATGGTGGAGGAAGTAGGAGGCGGGAGGCATGAGGAGAAGGAGGAGGAGGAGGACGAGGAGGAGGAGGCGGAGGAGGAGGAACAGGAGGAGACGGAGGAGGAGGGAGAGAAGGAGGAGGAGGAGGAACAGGAGGAGGAGGAGGTGGTGGGGGAGGGAAGGGGGAGGGGGGAGGAAGAGGAGGAGGAGGAGGAGGAAGAGGAACTGGACTATGATGAGGTAGAAGCAGAGCAATCAAACTAATCATGATACGAACAAGAAAAGCAATACGAACATCACTAACACTCATACTCGTATCGATAATACTACGAATATTAATCATCATAAGCATAACGCTACTAACAATACTACGAATGTTGATAGTGATAGTATGATGATCATCATAATAATAATGATAGTAAGTATTGTACTGCTTTAAATAACGATAATAACGAGACTAACAATACCAACAACGCGGACACCACTACTAATGATAGTAAGAAGAAGGTGAAGATAATGATGATGAGGAGGAGGAGGATGAGGAGGAGGAGGATGAGGGGACGGAGGAGGAGGAGGAGGAGGAAGAGGATGCGGAGGAGGAAGAGGAGAAGAGGAGGAGGAGGAAGAGGAGCATGAGCAGGAGCAGGAGGAGAACGAGCAGGAGGAGGAGTCATGGAGCCATGGGTCCAGGAATTGCGCGGTGCACACGGCACGCAGGCGGGCCGCAATGGCAGACAATTGACCCCCCCCCAGTTTCCTTTTTATGGGACGAAGCTGGCCCGAAGGCGGGTGCACCGACGAACAAGGGTTGGGCAGATACCCCGTCGCCCAGCGATTTGCCTCCAGCCGAGACCGCGTGGAGCGTGGGGGGGGAAGAGGCGAGGGCGCCAACTCTCATTTTTAGTGTCTCCTGTCATGTCCGGGCGAAGGACCCAACCATACGCAACTGTGAGTACCGCAGGGCAGGCGGGACGATCTGGGGGTGAATTCTCTATGGGGCCGCGAGCCGCGTGAGACGGGCGAGCCGCGTGAGGGGTGTACCAACATGTGGCGGGTACCGCATGCGGGTTGTAGGGGGGGCGCGCGCGATGACGGCCGCTGCGACCTTCGGTTGAACTCCTCGTGAAGCCACGACGCGTGCGAGGGGCTTGCCGAAATGAGCGGAGGAGGCGCGCGCGAGGACGGCCGCAGGGACGTTCGGTGGAGTTCCCTATGGGACCGCGAAGCGTGTGAGGGGTATGCCGACATGAGTGGGTAGGACGCATGCGGGCGTCGCCCTTGGGACCTTCGGTGCGGTTCCATATGGGACACGATCCTTGTGAGGGGTGTGCCGAATTGGTGGGTCGGACGCACGCGGGTGACGCCTCTGGAACTTTCGGTGGAGCTCCTTATGGGGCCACGATCCTCGTGAGGGGTGTGCCGAAAACCCATGGTTCGGACGCATTCGGGCGGCGCCGTTGGGACCTTCGGTGAAGCTCCCTCTGGGGCCACGGTCCTCGTGAGGGGTATGCCGAGCTGGGTGGGTCGGACGCATGCGGGTGGCGCCGTTGGGACCTTTGGTGAGGCCCCCAGATGGGGCCACGAAACGTGCGAGGGGTGTGCCGATGCTGGCGCGGATGATTACGATGGTAGCGGCGATGGGAATAGTCATGCTGAGGATGATGATGCCGATCACGATGACGACGACGACGACGACGACGACGACGACGATGATGATGCTGATGATGATGATGATGATGATGATGATGATGATGATGATGATGATGATGATGATGATGATGGTGATGGTGATGGTGATGGTGATGGTGATGGTGATGGTGATGGTGGTGACGATACTAATGATGTTGATGATGATGGTGATGATGGTGATGGTGATGGTGATGGTGGGGCTGATGCTGGTGCTACGGCTGATGATGATGATGATGATGATGATGATGATGAAGGTGGTGGTGAAAGTAATGGTGATAATAATTGTAATGGTGATGACGACGAGGCTGCTCGTGATGGTGATGGTGATGTCGGTGATCCATGATGTTGTGTTGCTGTCGTTGTTGATGGTGATGACGGTGGCGGTGATGTGACGAAGACGGCGACGGCGGCGGCGACGATTCTGACGATGATGATGATGACTGCGATGACGATGCTGATGATGATGATGATGATGATGATGATGATGATGATGATGATGGTGATGGGGATGGGGATGGGGATGATGATGGTGATGATGATGTTGGTGATGATGATGCTGATGATGATGAATGTGAATTTGGTGATTGCGCTGGTGATGATGCTGCTGCTGATGATGGTGCTGTTGCTGCTGATGAAGATGATGGCGATGGGGACATGCGAATTGACGAGGCACGGGTGGGAACACGAAGGGGTGACGAGGAGAGGTGGGGAAACAACGCGGGGCGTTGTCTCTTCAAAACGGGAAACCAACACCACATGATGGCTGGAAAACACGAAGAAGAAGAACAGGCCTGGTGGGGAGGAGGAATGGTCAGGAGGATAATCAGGACGATGGGGAGGAGCAGGAGGAAGAGGAGGAGGGGGAGGAGGAGGACGAGGAAAAGGAGGAGGAGGAGGCAAGGCCGCCACCTTTCGTCATGATAACAGTCCGCACAAAAAAAAAGGGGAGGAGGAGGCGCACATCTAAGCGTCGGCCTGTTTGGTGACTCGGGTTCGCTGTGGTTTGCTGAGGGGGAGGAGGAGGAGGAGGAGGAGGAGGAGGAGGGAGGAGGAAAGAAGAGGAGGGGGAGGAGGACAACGAGAAAAAGGAGGAGGAGGAGGAAGAGGGAAGGTCAGGAGGGGGAGGAGGAGGAGGAGGAGACGCAGGGGACGGAGGAGACGGAAGAGATGGTGGGCCATCGGCACGGACCGCCACTTCACGGGGCGGCCGCCCGTGCCGCTCCAGGGGCGGCGCCGCCACGCGGCGAGAGCGGCCGGGCGCTGTGGTACCTCTCCGCTCTAGGGCGGGCAGCAGGCCCCTTCCGCCGCCACCGTCGGGAGGAGGAGGCAGAGGAGGAGGAGGAGGGGGAGGAGGAGGAGGAGGAGGAGGAGGAGGAGGAGGATGAGGAGGAGGAGGGGGAGAGAAGGAGGAGGTTGAAGAGGAGGTTGAGGAGGAGGAGGAGGGGGGAGGAAGGAGGAGGAGAAGGGGAGGAGGCGAAGGAGGAGGGGAGGAGGGGGAGCAGGAGGAGGAGGAGGAGGTTGAGGAGGAGGAGGAGGAGGGGGGGCGGAGGAGGAGGAGGAGGAGGAGGAGGAGGAGGAGGAGGAGGAGGAGGAGGAGGACACACAATTGTGCGAGTGGGCAGGGCACGTGGGAGCGCCCGCCACAGGCCCCAGGAAGGTGGAGGCCCGCGGTACAAGCAGCGCAGGCATGCAAGCAACGGGAGCGCAGGAAATGCGGGCAATGCCGTGTGCGCGGGTGACAGGAGCAGGAGCAGGTAAAGGGAGGAGCAGGTAGAGGGAGGAGGAGGAGGAGGAGGAGGAGGAGGAGGAGGAGGAGGAGGAGGAGGAGGAGGAGGAGGGTAGGAGTAGGAGGAGGAGGAATCGGCGGGGTAGGAGGGAGAGGGAGGAGGGAGGCGTGGGAGAAACGTAACCGTCGGTCTCCTAAAGTAGGTCGGTATTTTTAGACTCCCAGATCCCAATCTAATTCTAGCGCCTTCCTATGTTGGGAATCGATATGCTTTCGCTGCGTTCTGTGTTTATTTGAGAGGGCTTGAGCCGAATATTATTGATCTGCATTCCCAATTCATGATATTACCTTCTTCTTCTTCCGACCGACGTGTACACCATAGGAACAATGAAACGCAAAACACATAATCGAATCACGCACAGGAAAAGGGAAACATCACACGGAACACATCGTGGCAGTGACACACGCATATTGCAACAGCTTGCGTATGTAAGTCATGTTGGAGTATCAGTTGAGTTGTAGCTCCTCGCCAGGTTCGTGTGTCCATGACGTGTGCTGTCGAGGCGCATGTGGCCAAGTGTTTTTACAGACGCGTTTTTCACTGGAGTGCGGCTCAATGATGTCGCGCTAGTCTGGCGAGGCTTGGGCTTGCTTTCGGCACTTTCGGATTGCTCTTAAGCAGGCCTGCCGTGACTTGAGGCTGTCGGATCTGCTCTTTTTCCGTTCGGTAGGCCTGCGGCCCGCCAGGCCCAGCCTTTGTGCAGAGTATGAGGGCCGCATCCCGGCCAGTGTCTCATCCCCTTCACTCTCCCGACCTCTGCTCCCTGCCCCTCCTCCTCCCTTCGCCCCTCCCTTCCCGACGGCAAGCGCATTCTCTTCGCCTACGACGAGTCCCTTTTCACGGACTTATCGGACATTGACGGCGAGGCGAAGGCGCAGCTCGCAAAGATTGAGGTCGACATCAAGGCCAAGGTTGAGGAGGTTGCCAAGTTGCAGGCGACGGTCCAGGAGGCGGCGGCGAGGGCCAAGGAGATCAGGGCTTCGCCGTCCAAGCGCTCCAGGCTCGACGAAGAGGGTGCCGCTGCCGTTGGGACTGGGGCGGAGGCTGGCGCCGAGGATACTGCCGCGCCAACCGCCGCCCCCCCCTCACCGACCGATGACCTGTCCGAGCCCACCGTGGAGGAGGCGGCAGTCAAAGAGCAGGTCAAGTCTGCGTTGGCCCAGGCGAGGGTCAAGGTCGAGAGCAAGGCTACTGCTGGCCTCGGTCCTCGGCCTGCTGCTTCTAGTGGAGCCGCTTCTGCGAGGTCTCGTTCCTGATCGGCAGCCGACCTGGCATGGACGCACTACCAGTACCAGTACGACCTGTACGTCCTCGGCCGCCCAGGGTGCCTCATCCCTGGGAAACCCCACATCATGCACTACGGCTGTGGCAGCTCTGGGGAATAGTATGGTAGATGGTACCTCTACCTCGCCGATTTCGACAGCGGCGGAGACTTATGAGCACACCATCAAGACGGACAGTAAGATTTTCTTCGCGAACGTCTCTGAGTGGGGCCCTGTAACCCAAGGTTTCTTTCGTGGTCAGGCCGAGGAATATGATATCCTGGGCATAGTTGAGACGCATATGAGGGGCGACCGGTTATCTCGTGCTGTTGCGGATATGAGTAAAGATGGATGGAGAGTTCTTGCTACTCCCTCTGTCCTTACAGGCAGATCGGCGCATGGCACCTCTGGAGGAGAATGGTTGGTTACTCGTAAGACGACTTCTCTTACCAGCTTCGAGCATTGGCGCACAGCTGGCGTTACCTCCAGAGTCGAAGACCCCTTTCGAGGCTTTTGTCCTGGTTTTTGGCACACTAGAGCTGGCAATATTGTTGTGGTGGCGTGTTGCCTTCTCCCTGGTCACAAGTTGAGAGGCGATAGTGAGAAGACCTTAGTACGTTTGGCTGGGTTTCTGGAATTGATCAGAGATCCTTGGATTCTTGTTGGCGACTGGAATGTTACCCCTGCTGAATGGGACACCGCAGATTGGATTGCGAAGCTCGGTGGACAGCTGAAGTTACCCATCGACGGGCACGTCACGTGCAACAGAGGTTCTGGCACCCTGATTGACTACGTGATCGCGTCCACCAAAGTTGCTGATGCGCTTCGTGTTAACATCGTGCCGCACGTTCCATGGAAGACGCATGCAGGTCGCTCCATGTCATTGAAGGCGGGTAAGGTCAGTTGGTGGATTCGCACGCTGTCGATCCCCAAGCCGTTGCACACTGTCTCCAGACCTCGTCGGCAGCCAGACCCCGATAGTAAGAGTCAGAGGAAGATTAGCGAGACTAAACATAAGCGACGTGAGCAGCTACCCGAAGTCCTTCAAGATGCTTTCGACGAGCTGTACCCTGAGGGGGAGGGTCGCCCCATCGACTCGACGCCGTTCGCCATCCCGTTGGACCTTTGGCGTGAAGTTCGCGCCCAGCCTTGCGAAGGGCGGCCCGCGCAGCGTCCTCATACTGTGCCGGATGCTGACCCTGAGACTCGTGATACGCTCTCTATTGTGTATGGTGAGTGGATTCAAGCTGTTGGGAACGCCACGATGCTGCACCACGACGTTTCGGAAGAAGATCGTGCGAAGTTTTGTGGGAGAGCGGGTGGATGCGATTTTAGTTGGTCTCGGTCGCGATCGACTCCTGGGCGTGCACATCTTCGTGACCAGCACCTGGAATGGTGGGAGCTTCGTACTGCGCTTATCCGCAGGTATGTGCTGCTCCATAGAGCTGGGAAGGATCAAGAGTTGGATTTGTGCGCGGGTAAGCTTGGCGAGTTGCTGAGGCCGCTTCTGGCGTTGATTATCCTTTTGACAAGGGTCCCAATTGCGATTGGGCTGGATGGTTTGGCGCTGTTTCTAGCATCGCCGATGCCGACGGCGATGAGCTCCAGGCGCTCATGGAGGCCGCCGACAAATATCGATCTAGAGCTCTCGGCCAAGCGCTCGCCAAGGCTCGCAGAGGGCGTGGGTATTGAAAGTGTGGAAGTCTTCCCCTGGAGTGTTACACCGCCATGCGAAGGGAGACCAGAAGGTCAAGCTTGCGGAGCCCATACGAGGCAATGATATCTACGCCACGCCCAACAGCATGATGGACTTGCGGGCTGATGAATGAAGTGACATCTGGAGTGATCCCAAAGCTGATCTCAACAAAGTTCGGGCAGGTTTCATGTACTTGAGAAGCAGGGCTCGGTCTGGTCCGCTGGAGGACACCACCCCTGAGGCTTTGGAGGCTGTTCTGTCGCGCCCCAACGCTAAGAAAGCCAAGGGAGTGGGTTCCCTGGGGCCCATCGAGTTGCAGCGACTGCCAGGGCCAGCCAAAGCTGAACTGATCGGATTACTCCATGCTGTTGAAGCTCGTTGTCTGTGGCCGCAGCAAATATTCATTGTCATTGCTCCTATTCTACCGAAACCCAGAGGAGGGGATCGCATCTTGGGGTTGCTGCCTCACTTTGCACGGTTGCGGGCCCGCTTGCGAAGCCAGCGCGCGCTAAATTGGAGCGAAGCCCTGGAGGAGCATTGGGACACTGCTGTTCGGGGTTCGTCGGCGCTGCAGGCTGCGCTGGCCCGCTCGCGCATGGATGAGAGTTGCCGCGAGATGGGGGTCGCCTTGTCGACGCTTCTTTTGGATCTGGAGAAGTTCTACGGCAGCTTGCCTTTCTCATTATTATGTGTCTCAGCCTTGCAGCAAGGGTTTCCTCTTCAAGTTCTGGCTCTTGAGATTCAGAATTTCATGGCTCCTCGCCACCTGAAGGACCAGAACTCTATTAGCAAGCAGATCTTGCCGCGACGCAGTGTTGTCGCTGGCTCATTGAATGGTGGGCGACTTGCGAAGGCCTTCTTAGGGCCAATTCTTCAGCAAGCCCAGCAGCGCTTCGAAGGCCGAATCATGCTGCGCACCTTTGTGGACGACACCGTGCTGAGGGTTGAAGGCCCAGAGAGTCTTGCTGGCGACCTTTTGGTGGAGTCTGGGTGTGGGTTGCGCAGCGATTTCGGTGCTGCTGGGCTGACAGTTCGCCCCGCGACTGCGGTGATCTCCTCGTCAGGTTCCCTGTCCCTCAAGGTCAGCAATGGGCATCGGCGTGCGGGAGTCCCAGTCGCTGCAGTTCGGCATGCTGTGGATCTGGGGATGGATGCTTCTGCTGGCAGGTACTACTCCCGACACAAAGCGTTGGATCGTGTCAAGAGAGCCAAGTCGCGGGCCACGGTTATTCGTCGTATGCGCAAGCATGCCAGGCCCCGCAAGGTCACCAGTGCGCTGTGGCCTACTGGGGCGAAGCCGCAGGGGACTTATGCTCATCAAGCGTATGATATCCCTCGTCATCTCTTGGTGCAGTTGAGGCGACAGGCGGCTCAGAGTGCGGTTGGCTCTGGTCCTGGTCGTTGTCTCACGTCTTCTATTGCAGCAGCCCTTGGGAGGCGTGGCCCTGCTAAGGTCATTCGTCGTGAACATTTGGCGGCTTGGCTAAAGTTGCGGCGAGAGCATCCTGATCTTCATGCTCGGATTGCTCTAAGTTGGGGCAAGATTTTATCTCGGTTGCGTTTGGCAGGTACTCGACGGTGGAGGGTCGTCTTGGGCCCTATCGGTGCTACGATTGCCACGCTCATGGATCTTGGTTGGATTCCGCACAGTCCCACGAGTTGGGAGTCTGAGCTTCATGTTTGGGCCATCCCGTCGTGCGATGATGAGGCCTTCTCTGACTTCAGCCCCGACTTCACGGACCTGCTGGAAGATGTGGAAGCCACGGTGGATTCTCTGCTGTGGGCTGCCGCTGGACATCATGAAGCGGGCGAAGACTTGGCCAGAGGTGCATATGATGCACATTCATCGTGAAGTTGATCGGCTCGCTCATGTCAACGGCGAGGGCCAGGTGGCGCTCAACCTCGTGGTGGTGAGTGGAGGCCAATGGCCTCGCCAGAGGCTGAGGGATGCAGGCTACGTGGTACCCAGCTTGTGTCCTCGGTGCCATGAGAAACCTGAGTCCCTGTTCCACAGAGTGTGGGAATGCTCCGCTAACACCCAGCATGAGGATTTCGATGATTCCCAGCATTTGCATGCTGAGGCACAAGCGCAGCATGAGGCATATCCAGGATTTTGGCTTCGAGGAGTGCCTGGAGTGAGTGAGACCGTGCCCTCCTTCGCTCCTCTCCCCCCTACGGTTGTAGATTTTGGATCTTTCGACCTGATTCCCCGCGACGCCGAAGGTTTCGTGACGATCTTCGGCGATGGGTCGGGGGGTCGTTTCTCGAGCGACCCTCGGCGTCGCAGAGTCGGGGCGGGGGTCATGGGCCTCACTCCAGTCGGATCGTCTTGGGAGCCCTCCGCGGGACGTGGGCCCACTCTCGAGGGCAGAAGGCAGTCTGTGCCTCGCGCGGAGCTCCTGGCGTTTCTCATGGCGCTCACTGTGTCTTCTAGTAATCTGCGCTTTGTCACCGATCACAGGCCTCTGGTGGATACTTGGAGCAGAATTCAGCGTGTTGGAGTGTCGAGCTGGGTGTTGGGTTCGAACGCTGATCTCTGGTCCGATATCCTGAAGGCTGTCGCCTCCCGAGGACCTGGTGTGATCGATATAGTCTGGGCGCCCTCTCATGTAGAGCTCGATCAGGTGTCTGTCCCGACTGTGCAGCAGATTTTTCGTATGTTTGGTAATGAATCAGCAGGGTCGTTGGCTGGATTCATGGCCGAGAGCGCCTGGTCTCAGTATGTAGTTTCCCCTGTGCCGTGCACTGATGAGCGGGATGCCATGGCCTCGCTGATCCGTCGTCGTGCGCGGAGAGCCCTTGCGTGTTGCATCCTCGCGGATCCATGGACCGCGGAATGGCAGCCCACCAGCAGAGGCGAGGCTGCGCTCCCGAGGCTCGCTCGCTCGCTTCGGGACTCGCCTCACGTGTGGGCCCGTGCGGGCCCGAAGTTTTGGTGCAGGAGGTGCGATTTGCTTGCCAACCAGGACTCGATTTTCCAGGTTTGTGAATCTCCCTGCAGGGGCGGTGGAACTCAGGAGTTCTCGCCCTATTCGGGCCCGCGGGTCGTGGGGGGGAAAGCCTTCCACGAAACCCATCGGCTCCATTTCTGGCGGAAATTCATGCTTATCTTCTGCACCCAATGCGGGAAGACGTGCACGACGGATGCACGGCAGCTTGCCCCTCGATGTGAACCCTCGGCCAAGGGCAGACAGAACCTGGCCCGCATCGAGCGAGGCGAATACCCCTCACCCAGGAGGCCCCCCCAAAGCGGTGCGGGAGGCTTTGGGCCCCTCTTGATATTGTAAGTTCTGCACTTGTTTTCTGGGCACTGTTTTGACCTACGTTGTCATTTTACCCCAATGTTCCCAATCCTCCTCCTCCTCCTCCTCCTCCTTCTCCTCCTCCTCCTCCTCCTCCTCCTCCTCCTCCTCCTCCTCCTCCTCCCTGCTACGCCAGGGACTCCGACAACACCCGCCGCCACGTGCCTCTGGTGGAGTCCGAGGACCAGCAGGCCCGGGGGGCGGGGCCCACCGGAAACGAGGGTGCCCTGCCGCTGGCTCTGTCACGCCAGTCTGCTCTTGTACGTGGAACTTGTGGTGTTTGTCAGGAGGAGGAGGAGGAGGAGGAGGAGGAGGAGGAGGAGGAGGAGGAGGAGGAGGAGGAGGAGAAAGAATTGGAGGAGGAGGAGGAATACGTAGAGGAGGTAGAAGAGGTAGAGGAGGAAAAGGAGGAGGAGGAGGAGGAAACGGAGAAGGAACAATAGAAGGAGAGGGTGAGGAATTCGAGGAGACAGAAGAGGAGGACGAGGACGAGGAGCGGGACCAGTGCAAACCCAAGGTTCACCAACGATGTTGGAGTAAACCTTCCTTCCAAGCTCCCTCTTCATAGGCCCATACGAGGATACAATTCCACTGAGTGAATTGCCTCATTGGCAAACAACCGTCTGAAAATGCTGGAACGTGCCACAAGGCCATTCTCTGAATTTCGACGCCGCGGATCAACCTGAGTGTTGCGTCTCGACGACCCTGAATCGCTCCAGACCGCCAGTCCTGGGACTTCAACACCGCGAATCAACAAAACTGCTGCTACCTGACATTCTTGTTTCGTTCCACAAAAGCGTTTCTGGGGCGTTAATCATGGGAACCCGTGGAATTCTTGCAATTGTTTTAAACGACTGCGCGCGGCGCTAAGGCGAGAGCCACATTTTGAAAAGGAACCGCCCTCAGTCCGTGAAATTCTTGCAAGTGCCTAAAACGAATGCACGCAGCGCTGAGACGAGAGCTACAGTTTGAAGACCATCCGCCCTCAATCCATCAACTCCTGCAGTGTTATACGGCGAGTGTGCGGGGGCGCTAAGGCGAGAGCCACATACGAACAGCTGTATTTACATATATATATATATATATGCACGTACAGTCATACAAATATACAAACAAACAAACAAACATACATACATACATACACACATACATACATACATACATACATACAAACATACGTACATACATGCATGCATACATACATACGTACATACATGCATACATACATACACTCATGCATATGCATATGTTCCGCGCGGTTTACCGGTGCGCGCCTTTTTGTGGAGCGTGTGCCCACGCCGCTTCCTGGAAGAGGCCTCAGTTTCGGAGAAGGTGTTGCCCATTGCTTTCAATCCCGTTTCGTTCCGGTATGTTTTTCCGCGCCGTGCATGTGGGCGCCCGCCCGCGGAGGGCTTCGCCCTCCCGCGTGCGGCGCGGGAAGACGGTACCGGAGCAAAGCAGGATTTGAAATGAGGCGAAACTTTCTCTGAGTCAGTGCTGGTCTGGGTGCGAGGAGCCGTTGCTCAGAGAGGTGCAACTTTTGCCTTGATTCAAGCATCTCGACCGCAGGTCTGGCACTCATCGACACCTCCGACTGCCGCGGCAGAGCCATGCAGGGCGTCGCCGCCGTCGCCCTCGTCGGCTTGGCCGCCGCCAACAACGTCGTGGGCCCGTGTACCAAGAAGTGTTTGGACACCAGGGCCATGTGCGCAGAACGCGACGACACCGCGACCGCAAGGGCTGCGAACGCCAGGAGCCGTCTACCATGGGGAAGGGCACCCGCATTCACGTGTGGACGTGCCACAACGAAGAGAACCAGAACTTCGAGCTCATCGGCGGCCGCGCCATGAACAAGCGGGCCGCACCTCCAAGGACGACGCGGAGCTGTACATCGACATCAAGGACACGCGCGCGGAGTGCGACCCGCCCGCAGACCTCGACGACGCAGCGCCGCAGGGCTACAACCGCGACGGCTGCGAGCGCCAGACTGGACCAGATCAAGGCGGACGCCAAGGCAGGCGGCCAGGCGGATCCAGCTGTGGACCTGCCGCGACGGCACGTCCAACTCCAGCTCCTTCAGCAACCAGAGGCGGGACCTCTTGGGCAACGGCGCGCGGAAGAACGCGGGCGCTGGCCTGTGCCTGGCGGCCCACCACGACGACGCCGCCAACAGGGCCGAGGTGCACATGCACGAATGCCCCAGCGACTCCGCGGACGACCTCGCCGAGTTCGTCTTCGACTTCGAGACTGGCGATCTGGCCGAGCAGTCGGAGGGCGACGCGAGCGGGGGCCGTCTTCGCGCGTTTTCTGTCGGCGCCATGGCCGTCTCCTCAAGGGCGAGCTTCCCGGCGCCGCTGGTGGGCGCGGCCGCTGGCGCGCTGGCTCTCGCGGCCGCTGCTGCTGCTGCGGCCATCCGTGCCCGCCGCGGCGCCAGCGAGATTGAGCTTTCGCTCGCGACGGCGGAGTGAGCGCGTCGTCGCGAGTCAGACGTGAGAGTGAGAGGATCACTACGATTTCTTCGGCGCCCGCTGCAGCGCTGACAGGGCGCCCCCCCGCCCTCCGCCGCCGCCCCCTCGCGCCGGTTTTGGCCGGCGAACCCGCCGCCGTTTCATTGTCGTTTAGTTGCGGTTGCGGTCGCGCCCGCGGGCGGCTTGAAATGCGTCGCTCGGTTGGGATTTGATCAGCGTGGCCAGTCCGCGTCGCGCGGCGAGCGCTGTTTGATAGAATTGCAAGTCTGTTTTGGGGGGTCGCGTTGCACGGCGTGGTCTTCCAGGGATTTCGAGTAGTTTTCTTTTGAGAAGGTCGCATGACTTGCATTCTCGTTTCATATGAACAAGTCTGAATGTTATTGTTGCTTGGTTTTGACGCCCCGTCCGTTCGCTCGCAGTATTCCGCGTTCTCGTAATGGCCATTTTGAGTCCAGATTTGTTTGTCAGTATTGTTGTAACCTTTTTAAAACATTGCCGGATGCAGCCCGCCAGAACGACTTCGCACTGGTTGCAATACGATTCGCCGCCGATTTTTTTTATGGGGGGGGGGGGGGGGCGATTTGCATTCGTTGTTTTGCCTCGCCGCCTTTTTTTTTGTTTCTTTCAATCCTTTTCTTCTGATGCGCCAGTTACTGCGCCAGGTTGGTTTCTTCGCCTCCCGCTTATTTTATGATATAGAGTTAGAGTGGAGGGGCCGAGCGGTCATTCGTTGTCCATGGGCGCGTGGCTGAATTGCAGATTATCGGTGAGGCTCCTGCTTGTTGCGCGGTAGTTGTTGCCGTCGTCGTCGTCGTCGTCGGCGTCGTCGCCCATCGCCCGCGACCCGCCCCGCGACCCGCCCCTGCGACCCGCCCGCGACCCACCCCTTGACCCATCCGCGACCCATTCACGACCCACCCCGCGACCCAAGGACGACCCAACGGCGACCCATTCGCGACCCACCCGCGGCCTACCAACGTTGGTCCAACCAAAAAATCAGCGCCTGCGGCGGGCTTCCCCAGAGTCTCGCAGACTGCTGACGTCCCCGCTGCCCACTCACTCTTGTCCGCATCTGCGGGGTGCTACGTATATTTTATTGTTTCCGGTGTGATGTGAGAGGCCTCAAATGGTCTGACATAGAACTACTCTCATGTTTGTCGAGGCTGCTCGGAGGTTCCGCAGAACCTGGATCCTGATCATAATTTCCATTATCAGTTTGAAGATCGCCAGCTGCGGCCAGTCGGGCCGGCAGCCAAAGTGACGCAACAGACGAGAGAGGACGCGCAGGAAAAGCCAATGACAAAATCCAAATCTTTTTTTTGTCCCAACCCCCCTTGGTGGGGCATTCGTTTTAAATAGAGCACTGCTCGCGCGCCCTTCTCCCCCCGCCTCCCGCCGTCGCCACTTTCGAGGGCTGCTGGGGATGCCAGCAGAGAGGGCACCCACCGCGGATCCGAGTGAATCTGCGACGCTGTCGCCACTTTCGAAAGCTGTTGGCGGGTCCTGCGGGCTGAGGCGCCGCGGGAATCTGAGCGAGACCGCGCCGTCCCTGGGGGGCTGCGATCTGCGACGCTGTCGCCGCTTTCGAGGGCTGCCGGTGGGTCCTGCGGACTGAGGCACCGCGGGGATCTGAGCGAGACCTCGCCGCCCCTGGGGGGCTGCGATCTGCGACGCTGTCGCCGCTTTCGCGGGCTGCTGATGGGCCCTGCGAGGCACCGCGGGGGTCCGAACGAGACCTCGCCTTCCCTCGGGCGAGACCTCGCCTTCCCTTGGGGGCTTCGATCCGCGACGCTGTCGCCGCTTTCGAGGGCCGCTGGCGGGCCCTGCGGACTGAGGCGCCGCGGGGGTCTGAGCGAGATTTCGCCGCCCCTACAGTAAGGGGCTGCGATCTGCGACGCTGTCGCCACTTCCGAGGGCTGCCGGTGGGCCCTGCGGACTGAGACACCGCGGGGGTCCGAGCGAGACCTCGCCGTCCCTGGGGGGCTGCGATCTGCGACGCTGTCGCCGCTTTCGAGGGCTGCTGGTTCGAAATCCCGTGAAAGGATTCTTCGCGCCTCTCGCACTCGCGCGCAGGGGTGGCGTTCGTGATAGAGGCCTCAGTGTCGGAGGAGCTGTTGCCCTTCGTTTCAAATCGCGTTTTGCTCGGGTATGTTTTTTTTTTCGCGCCGTGCACGCGGGCGGCCTTCGCCCGCTCGCGGAGGGCTTCGCGCCCCCGCGCGCGGCGCGGAAAAACGGCGCCAGAGCAAAGCAGGATTAGAGGTGAAGGGCGACATTTTCATTGAATCAGCGCTGGCTTGGGCGCAAGGGGCCGTTGTTCAGAGAGCTGCAACCTTTCCTTTGTCTCAAGCATCTCGGCCGCAGGTCCGGCGCTCATCGACGCCTCCGACTGCCGCGGCAGAGCCGCGCAGCGCGAAGACGCCGTCGCCCTCGTCGGCCTGGCCGCCGCCAACAACGTCGTGAGCCCGCATGCCAAGAAGTGCTTGGGCATCAAGGCCACGCGCGCAGAGTGCGACGACGCCGCGCCCCTCGACGACGAGGAGAAGGGCTGCGACCGCGAGGGGCGCGACCGCCGGGGGCCGCCCACCATGGAAAAGGGCGCCCGCGCCCACGTGTGGACGCGCCACAGCGAAGAGAACATAACTTCGAGCTCATTGGCGGCCGCGCCATGAACAAGGCTGCCGGCCGCGCCTCCAAGGACGACGCGGAGGCGTGCGACGACATCACGGTCACGCGCGCGGATTGCGACCCGTCCGCGGACCTCGACGACGCAGCGAAGGGCTGCAACCGCCACGGCTGCGAGCGCCAGACCTTGGATCAGATCAAGGCGGACGCCAAGGCCAGCGGCGAGGCGGAGATCCAGTTGTGGACCTGCCGCGACGACGCGTCCAACTTCAACTCTGTCGGCAACCAGAAGTGGGACCTCTTGGGCAATGTCGCGCGGAAGAACGCGGGCGCTGGCCTGTGCCTGGCGGCCCGCCGCACGACGACGCCGAGTCCGGCGACGACGCCGCCGACGGTGCCAAGGTGCACGTGCACGAGTGCCCCGACGACCCCGCGGACGTCCTCGCAGCGAGTTTGTCTTCGACTTCGAGACCGGCGATCTGGCTGAGCAGGCGGAGGGCGACGCGAGCGAGGGCCGTCTTCGCGCGTTCCCCGTCGGCGCCAAGGCCGTCTCCTCCAGGGCGAGCTCCCCGGCGCCGCTGGCGGGCGCGGCCGCTGGCGCGCTGGCTCTCGCGGCCGCTGCCGCTGCTGCCACCCGCTCCCGCCGCAGCGCCGGCGAGAACGAGCTCCCGCTCACGGCGGCGGAGTGGGCGCGGCGTCGCGAGTCAGACGTGAGAGTGAGAGGCCTCCAGTGGTCTGACATCTATCTCACGCTCACGTTTTCGAGCTTGCGCGGAGGTTCCGGAGACCCCGGGTCCTCATCAGCATCTTCGCATGCAGATTGAATATCGCCAGTTGCGGCCAGTCGGGCAGGCTGCCCAAGTGGCGCAACAGATGAGAGAGGGTGCGCAGGAAAGCCAACAAACAACAACATCCTGGTATGTTTTTTTTGTTCCTAACCGGGGGCCGCGGATCCGGGGGGTCCAGAGGGCCCCGGGGGCTTGGGATTCGGGGGTCCGGTTTCGGGTTGGGGGGTTTTGGGTTGTAGATAGATATGAAATGGAATCGAATTACGCAGGCCGAAAGATTTTCCTCTTCAGCCTCAAGTCGTGGGAGAAGATGCGGGAGTTGGCCAGGCCCGCTGTAGCGTTCGAGCAATTTGATGTTATGGGGGGGAATTGTGGAAAATGGCCAGACCCGCTGTAGCGCTCGAGCAAATACGTGTTATGGAAGGAGTTGAGGAATGTGGCCCGACCAACTGTGGCGCTCGAGCTTCCGATCTTGACACTTTGCGTGTGTGCGTGTGTGCGTGTGTGTCCTCATGTTCCGTGTCCTTCCTCCTCCCACCTCCCCCTTCCTCCCCCCGCATCCTCTTCCCTTTTTCTTCATTCCGCATCCTTCCTCACTCCTCCTCCCCTTCCTTCCTCGCCCCCCCTCCTCCATGATTGTTCATCCTCTCTTTTCCCTTCTCCCGTCCCTTCTACCCTGCCTCCCCCCCCTTCGTGCCCTTCCCCCTTGCCTTCCCCTTTCCGTCCTGGGAAGACCCCCCCTCTCCCCGTATATAGTCTGCAGATCCACAGCTCCGCGGATAGCATGATGCTTCACGTGCGGTGCCCCGCGGATCCAATTTGCTCTGGGTCTAGAAAATAAATGCACCCATGGATTTTTCACTCAAGGAAATTTGGATCCGCGCAACACAGAAATTCGATCCCCGAAATTGTCGCGCACCCGGAAAAAAAGGGACCCCATTGGATCCATTGATTTTAGTCCGAGGGGGAAAACTTTCGGCCTGGGGAGGCGTTTATATTTCTACACACAAGACTGCACTGGCGCTTCTCGCCATGCACCTTGGCCCTTGAAGTTTGGCATGCAGGCGGAAGGGCAGGAACGTCAAAAAGACGATTTAGCGATAAATCGTTGTCGCATTGCCCGACATCGCTGTTATAATAATGTTATTCATTATCTTCCCTCCATGCTTCTGTGTTCCCATTCTCGCCGTACCCTGCGCATTCTTCCCCACCTTCCCCAGCTCATTTTTCGGAGCCTTTTTTCCTTTTGGGGGCCTCACAAAAGTTGTTCAATCTTTCTGAAGGACTTCTGGGGCCTCCTGGGCGTCCTCTGGGGGCCTCTTGGGCTTTCCTCGGGCCACCCTTCCTCCAACCGCGGTTTCCCTGGTCACGATTTGGAATGCTTCGGCAGATGTCTTGGGGACATTTGGGGCCGTCACGGGGCTCTAGTAAACCATCTTGGGTCCCTGCTGTTCCGTCATGGGGCTCCCCTGGACTGCCTGGAAGCCCTTTCGGATGGTCTTGGGGTGATCATCATCGATGGCCGGGGAGACCGAAGAGCGGGGCGCTCCCAAAAGCATGCGCTGTCCTGCGCTTTGGACGCCGAGGCGCGGCCGGAGGACCCCTCCCGAGCGCGCTCGCTCCGCCTGGGAATGGCTAGGAGGAACAACTCGACACAGGCACCAACACTATTTCAGGAGGGGAACAACACAAAGACACAATTCGTCGTCGATTCCCAGGAAATTTTTGGAAACTATGGAAAGTGGTGGGGAAGACGCGAACCCAGAACATATGGGGACTTATGGGGAATCCGGTTAGTTGTGTGTATTTATTTGTGTATACCAGGGCCCCTTCCAGTATCTTGGCGAATGACCCAACCATATGCAGCTATGAGTACCGCGTTGTGGGTACCGCTCTCGGTGGACCCCCTATGGGGCCACGATCCTCGTGAGGGTGTGTCGAACTGGGCGGGGGGACGCATGCAAACCCTGCCGCTGGGGCCTTCGGTGGAGCTCCCTATGGGGCCACGATCCTCGTGAGGGGTGTGCCGAACTGGGCGGGGGGGACGCATGCAAACCCTGCCGCTGGGGCCTTCGGTGGAGCTCCCTATGGGGCCACGATCCTCGTGAGGGGTGTGCCGAACTGGGCGGGGGGGACGCATGCAAACCCTGCCGCTGGGGCCTTCGGTGGAGCTCCCGAGGAGGCCACGATCCTCGTGAGGGGAGTGCCGAACTGGGCGGGGGGGACGCATGCAAACCCTGCCGCTGGGGCCTTCGGTGGAGCTCCCTATGGGGCCACGATCCTCGTGAGGGGTGTGCCGAACTGGGCGGGGGGGACGCATGCAAACCCTGCCGCTGGGGCCTTCGGTGGAGCTCCCTATGGGGCCACGATCCTCGGGAGGGGTGTGCTGACATGGGGGGGGGCGCATGCAAACCTTGCCGCTGGGGCCTTCGGTGGAGCTTTCTATGGGGCCGCGATCCTCGTGAGGGGTGTGTGTCGAAATGGGCGGGGGACGCATGCATACCTTGCCATTGGGGCCTTCGGTGGAGTTCCCTATGCGGCCACGATCCTCGTGAGGGGTGTGCAAAAATCAGCGGGGGGACGCATGCAAACCCTGCCGCTGGGGCCTTCGGTGGAGCTCCCTATGGGGCCACGATCCTCGTGAGGGGTATGCCGAAATGGGCGGGGGGACGCATGCAATCCCTGCCGCTGAGGCCTTCGGTGGAGCTCCCTGCGGGGCCGCGATCCTCGGGAGGGGTGTGCTGACATGGGGGGGGGGGGGGCGCATGCAAACCCTGCCGCTGGGGCCTTCGGTGGAGCTCCCTATGGGGCTACGATCCTCGTGAGGGGTGTGCAGAAATCAGCGGGGGGACGCATGCAAACCCTGCCGCTGGGGCCTTCGGTGGAGCTCCCTATGGGGCTACGATCCTCGTGAGGGGTGTGCAGAAATCAGCGGGGGGACGCATGCAAACCCTGCCGCTGGGGCCTTCGGTGGAGCTCCCTATGGGGCTACGATCCTCGTGAGGGGTGTGCAGAAATCAGCGGGGGGACGCATGCAAACCCTGCCGCTGGGGCCTTTTGTGGAGCTCCCGAGGAGGCCACGATCCTCGTGAGGGGTGTGCCGACATGGGGGGGGGACGCATGCACACCCTGCCGCTGGGGCTTTCGATGGAGCTCCCTTTGGGGCCATAATCCTCTGGAGGGATGCGCCGACATGGTGGACACGCGGCGAGCAGAAGTAGGAATGGGAGGAGGGAGGAGTGGGAGGAGGGAGGGGCCAGCGGGAGGTGATGTGAGGTGAGACGCGGGGCGCTGTCTCGTCAAAACGAGGACCCAACACGACAGGATGGTCGGGAACAAACGTAGAACATACACGAACATTCAGGACATCCTGGAAACGAGTGGGAGAGGAAATCCAGAACATACAAGAAAATACGGGATTTCCTCAAATTGATTCAGTTGTCATTGTGTCTCTCGGGGCCCCTTCGATAGATTTGGCTGGGAGTTGAACGTGTGCCCCCCCTAAGAGCAAACATTCGCCCCCGAGTTGCTCCTTCAGGGCACATGTTCGCTCCAGAGGGGGGGGGGGACTTTTCAACTCCCCACCAAGTCGGCTGCCTGGCAGCTCCCGTGCGCGCGCTGTGGCGTCCGCGACTCTCTCGGAGCCCGTTACTGCACAGCCTGCCTTTCGTCGTCCTCCTCGGAGGCTCAAAAAAGACGCAACAATGCCCCTGTAGAGGATGCCTGGTAGAGTGAACGATCGATCGACCTTGCCAATGATTGACCCTGGAATTGAGAATTTGCTTCTCCGGGGCAAGCATTTTTGCCCCTCCGAAACAAGTACTTGTCCCGAAGGGGCAAATGTTCAATTCCAGGGTACATCAATTCCGTGGTCGATCGATCATTCAGCTAGAGCCACGGACAGAGGCCCTGAAGTGGAAGGGCGGCGCGGCAGCTGGCCCCGTTTGGCCCCCCTGTTCGGCCCCCCTCCTGCTTGGGCCCATCACTGCACATCCCAAGAGAGGCCAGACTCGTGTCTCGGCGGTCTCCGGCGCAGAGGCGCAGAAGGAGGGAGGGGCCTTGAGAGGGGCGCCCCCTAGATATGATGTGAATGAATGCCGCCCGCCCCCGGCCTCAGGTCCCACACCTCCCCGTGACTTCTCGGGGACGCTCCCGGTACCGCTCCCCTGGCCTTTCCGGGGAGCCTCCACAGCGCTCCGGAGGGCCCAAGACGCCTCCCAGGAGCCCCCAGAATGCGAAAGGACGGCCCAAGACGCTCCCAAGCAGCCCCCAAGTCAGCCTTCCGACGGTTCTCGAGGCTCCCAGGTGGCCTCCAAGAGACCCCAAGAGAGTCCAAGAGGGGTCCCGGGACGGCCCGAAGAGGCAAACATCGTCGGTGTGCATTGCTTTTTCAATGTTTTTGGCTTCTCGCGTTTTCGAGCTTCCAACTGTCCAAGAGAGCCGACGAGGCTCGTGCTTGCGTGCGCGCGCGCGCGCGCGTGCGTGCGTGCGTGCGTGCGTGCGTGTATGTGTGTGTGTGTGTGCGTGCGTGCGTGCGTGCGTGCGTGCGTGCGTGCGTGTAATATAATAGTGTGTATATACATAAAATGTATTGATGTATTGAATTATTTTTATTTATATATATACATATATGTGTGCGTGCGTGCGTGCGTGCATGCGTGCATGCCTTCGTGCGTGCGTGCGTGTGTGTGTGTGTGTGTATGTGTGTGTGTGTGTGCGTGCGTGCGTGCGAGCGTGCGTGCGTGTGTGTGCGTGCGTGTGTGTATGTGTGTGTGCGAATCCTGGGTGGCCGCCAGGCGTTGGAGGAGGAGGAGAAAGATGAGGAGGAGGATGAGGAGGAGGAGGAGGAGGAGTGAGTGAGAACATTCGAGGTGCGAGCCGAAGCGAACTGCGAGCGCTTACGAGCGAACATATCGGCTTTGCGGCCATCGATCGGATTCGATCCGATTTTAATATTCAGCGACCCAGTCTCCTATGCCCGCACTGTGAGCGAATCCAGAGCCTCAAGGATTGGTGCAGAAGCATTATGTAGGTACTGTGTACCCAGCCCCCCCTGCATGTAATTAAACCCCCGACGGCAACACACGGAACCTACCATCAACAGCAGCGGGTCTAACATTTTGAGAGGAATACATTGGGCCTTGTCAGCCTGGGAAGAAGAGCTAAATTAATTCTTACAACGCTGGCCAGTCATCAAGAACGTGGCTGGTGGCAAATTGCATGCACACAGAAGCGGCAGGGGGAGGCGATGGTTCACACACTTCGTTTTTTTTCTCAGCGGTCTGTCTTTTGCACCAGTTCGCCCTCGGACCCCCGAGCATCAAGTGTAGTTCTGATCAGTCTCAAACTTATCTGACACACCTTTTTCTCGAACCTGTGTTCACGATGTCTCTCGGTCTCGGCAAGCCTGACTCGACGTGCCGCACCTTCCGCCATTTCGTCAACCGCCGCGTTGCCAACAATCAACTGCCACGGCGCAGCTCCTGGAATCATTTGTGTCGGCGACAAATGCGAATTCGCAAACAACACAACAAATTCAGCCTGACTGCGTCCAGCCAGAGCCACTCCGATCTTGTTCCACTGATCGGCATCCTTGCCGCTGGGAGAGGCGCACCTATGCGAGTACCAGCCGTCTGCAACTCCACTGCTGTCCGTGACGAAGTGCACGCACCCGCTGGACATCCTGACGGCGATGAGCAGCGCGAACAGCTCCCCCCTGGGAACACTTTGCCGTGCCCCTGGAAGACCCCCGACACCGTCCCATCGAGAACCAGGGGCTCGAAATTGTTCACGCTGACGACCGCCAGGCCCACGCGTCTGAACCTGTTGTCGGCCGAGTCGGCGCCGCCACTGGCATCAGCAAAAAACCACAGTGGCCTTTGCTCGGTACCGTGCCCGAACGGGAGACCTTCGAGACTACCTGCCGCTGCGCCCGACACGTGCCATTCTTCACGCTCTTGCGGTGATGTCACCTCGGTCCACCTGGCTGGCAGCAACCCCCGCAACCAGTAGCACTGCTCACTGTCGTACCTGCTGTAGGCCTGCGGGAGCAAGTCCTGCGAGCCAACGTACGCTGGTGGTCCCACGTTCTTGGGGCAGCTCCAGCCCCGGTGGAACATGGTCTCGGCCTCCTGCCCACACCTCGGGCAGAGGCGTGACAAACCCAGCGCCTTGACTCCGCTGCGTCAACTCGCCGATCTCTCGCCCAGCTGCCGCCCGTGACGACCATGCTGAGCACCTCCTCCATGCGGTTGCCGTGCGGGATGTTGGAGAACTGCTGGTAAATCTTGCGCAACGATATATAGAACTACTCAAATCGCTCACAAGCTCTCTCGGCGCGTCGACATCCACGAAGCCCGTCCACGCCGTGTCAGGGAACTGCCACTCGATGACCTCGCCCGACTCCGTGGGCGGCATGGCCCAGCAGATGGCGGACTGCAGGTCCCAGCCGTTGTCCAGCAGAAACGCCACCATCGCCGACAACGGTCCGCGAATGTGGCTCGAGCGAAGGTTCGGCTTAACCTGCCTCAGGTGAGAGGAGGAGGAGGAGGAGGAGGAGGAGGAGGAGGAGGAGGAAGGACGCTGCGCGGTGCGCCGGCGCGGCTGCTTCCCTGGGGGGGGGTCCGAGGTCTTCGGGCATTTTCGTCGGTGCTCCGCGATTGTCCAGGTTCTGGGAGTCCGAGACGGTCGGAATGGGTAGGGAAAGAATTGGCACAACGGCCGACAGCAGCTCCTGCTAATTCTGAGGAGGACTCGCCGACTCGCCGTCGGCGTCGCCGCGGACGGTGCCCACTTGAGGTGGCAGGTTGCCTGGCCAGCAGTGGCCGCTGGTGGTTTGGGGCTTCATCTGTCGTCGGGCATATTGTGCTCATGCGTTTCCTGTACATACCCCTCCCGGGCGTCCACATGGGAAGCGGGCGAGGGCGCGAGATCTCCCCCGCACGAGCGCCACGAGTCGGGGGTTACCACAGGCGTCCACGGCCCGGGGTCTCCCCGGGGAGGCCCCGGGGAGGCCCCGACGGCCTGGAGGGCCTGGGCGCTGGGAGCACCTCGGGCCAGGGCCGCAGCACCCGAGCGGGCGGATCGGCCATCGCCTGGGGCTGTCAGCACCGTGCGGTGACAGAACTTGCGGTGGCTCGAGCTCCCAGGAGACCTCACCGCACGGTCCGTCACCGCACGGCCTTGGGACCCTAGAGGCCCCATCCTCGGGAAACGAGGTCCCAAAATTGTGCAGTCACCCGCTGGGACGTACTTAGGCGATCGACGAGCAACAGGCTTGCCAGTTTCATATCGCCCGATCATGCATCCTAAGGAGATGGAGGACGACATCGTTAGCATCTTCGAGGGCCAGGTCAAGGAGGCGAGACAACGCGCGAAGAGGACTGCGGAGTTTGTTACACCCCGCCTTCGTCAATCGTCATTGTCGTCATCGTCTTTCGGAGTGAGGGCGAACAGGAGGCAAGGCAGGAGGCGGACCAGGAAGATTACGAGTAGAACGGCAGGTCGAAGGTTGGGAGAAGGCCGAGGAGGAGAGCTCGAAGGAGGAGGTGGAGGATTGGAGAATAGAGGAGTTGGAGAACTCGAAGGAGGAGGAGGAGGAGGGATGGTGGAAGAGGGCGAGGATGAGCAGGTGCAGGTCGAAGCGGACGAAGAGCAGCTGGAGCAGGACGAGCGTGACGATGATGGTTGCCTCCGCCTCCGCCTCTGCTGCCTCTCCCTCTGCCACCCCTTCACGGGGGACCTCGCCTGTCCCCGTCATCGGCGTTTTTCCCGTGCCAGACGTGGGCTCGTCGCGGACTCGACGCGGATCTGACGGAATTCGGCACGGACTCGGCACGGCGTCGACACGGATTCGGCACGGATTCGACGAGTCCGAGATGTATTCGACACGGATTCGACGCTGGCAGGGGCGCGACGGGACAGAGAAGGTCCTTCGAAGATGCAACATCATTTCTCCCCCCTTCCCTCCTCCCGCCCCTGCGTCCATCCTCCTCCGTCTGGTTCCGAAAGCTGGTGCCCGAGGGACCCTGGCCTCTGAGAGGGTGGACTGGCGGGCTGCGAGTGGGCTCCGGTCGGGAGGCCGCCCGGCATTTTCCTGTGGTGGCCCCTCGGCCTGCGAGGCTCTCGCTTGGCCACGCAGCCGCTCAGCGAGGGGCGCACCTGGCACCTCAGAGTCCAGCCGCAGGTCTCTCCGCGACCGTGAGAGGAGGAGAAGAAGCCCGTCGGGTAGGTGCATGCGGCGATGGCGCGCTGGCGACGCTGGCGAAGGCGTTCCAGGTTGGCTTCCGCACGGTAGAGCGGCGCGGGGGCACCGAGCGGCACGGCAACGCCACAGGGCCCGACGGAGTTCAGCTTTGCACGATCGGGGCCGTAGTCGATGCAAGGTTGAGCGATCGACACGAAGTCAAAATTTGTTGCGCGCGCCGACGCCGCCTGAATCTGCCGTACCGCCTTCTTTGCCTCACTTTCGCCTTTTGGGGGGGCCTCATGTGAGGCCCTCGTCGCCACCGCTGGATTCGCCCCGAAATCATAGGTAAGTCGGGCATGTCCCTCTACAGGAGGAATACCCCCAAATAGCTAAAGATTAGTCTGGGAACTATTTTTCTACTATTTAAAAATATTGTTGGACTATTTTGAATTTTCATCCGAAACCCGCCTTCCGGAGGACATGCCCGACCTGAAACTACAGTCAGGATGCACCCCAGCAGAGGCCCAGAGAGCAGGGGTCTCTGCCAGGGTGCACCCCCGCAGAGGTCCGAGGCGTGGCGATGCCGGTGCCTCCTGGTGTCCCCAGGGCCCTGGAGACGTCGCTGTGCTGCGACCTTGGGCGCCGCATAATGGGGGGGTCATAAATGGGGGGGTGCCGCGGGTGGTCCGAAAAGGTACCCAAACGGTACCTAAACGAGCCCCCTGGGGCTCCGGAGGGGCCCGAAAGGGGCACGACAGGGGACCTTTTCTGACCCCCCCATGTGTGACCCCCCTATTAAGCCACGCCCAACGACCGGCCAGGGGGCGACGGTCCGCTGTGGGGTGCGCTTGCCAGCGCGTCGGAGCGCGCGCCTCGCCAGGCTCCGGGTGCTGGCTTGCGCTCTCCCCGCCCGGCCGAGCCTCTCGGCGGGGGCCACGGCTGGCGGCCTCTCGGCCAGGGGCCTCCGCCGGGAGGCGAGGGGGGGTGCGGCCCCTGCTGTCGGGGTTGTGGCCCTTCCTGGATACCCAGACCCCCTCGAGTTATGAAAAAATCACGACGGGAGGTTTTTCATCTTTTTGGCCTTTGGGGGCCCTTACCGGCCCTCGGGACCGTCAGAAAACGACTCAGGACGAAAAACTGGTCCCGGGGAATGGGTCGAGACCTCGGGGGGTCGACGTCATGAAGAAATCATGACGTCGGGGGTCTGGGTAGGGCCAGTGCCCACGCTCTTCTTGTGTGTTTCTGCTTCTCTCTCTCTCTCTCTTTCTCTGTCTCTGTCTCTCTGTCTCGGCCGGAGCTTCTCCGTCGTTCGCACTGCCGCAGGCTCAGGTCTAAACTAGTCTCCCTCGTGGCCACCCTCGGCACCGAGGGTGCAGGCTGCAGCTGAGTTATCGGGGAACGTTCCAGGCACGAGCTTGCTCGCCGCTGCCATCTCTGGGCCGTGTGGGCGCTGAACGTCCTTTCGCAGCGATCACTTTACCGTATCTGGGCTGTGCGATGCACAGCGTCCATTCTGTGGCGTGCGCTCAGCGTCTGTCAGCGATGTGTTTTCTTCTCTCGGCTCTCGCTCGGGTTGGTCTCCGTCTGGTGGCACTCCGCCAGGGTCCCGTCTGCGCCTGCCTCTCAGCCCACGGGCCTACGTCAGGCAGGTGGCTTGGCAAGACTTGGCATCGCTTGGACGTGTGCACTTTTCCTTCGGCGAGGACCATCGAGGAGCATCCTGGAGCATCCGGCAGAAGAAGCACGCGCGACATCGAAGAATGCACAGGGAATACATGGACGTCCGAGCGACTGCAAGGCCCTGGCAAGAGCGAGCTGCACCTTGTTGCTCCATCCAGGCGGGTGGGGGGAATATCATTAAGTCGGGCCTGTCCCTCTACAGGAGGAATATTCCAAACTAGTAGAAACAGGCGGGGACGATGTTTCTACCATTTCGGGCTATTGTTGATGATCTATTTGAGTATTTTCAACTGTTCCTCCCAAACCCGCCTGTAGGAGGACGTGCCCGACCTAAGAATAGCATGCCCCGCCCGCTCCCCCCTCCGCTCCCCCCCTGGCCCTCCTTGCGGCCTTTGTCACTCCTTGTGCAGAGTTATCGCGATAGCATCAAGTCGGAGGAATATTCAAAAATAGTCGACCAATCGTATGGGGACGATTTTGGATTATTGTAGACTGGTTCTGGATTTGTTTGGACTACTCTTCATTTGTCCTCCAAGATCCGCATGTGGGAGGACATGCCCGACCTAACGATAGCAGGCGGTGCTTACACAGAGCGGACTCGGGCCGCATCGAAGATCGCCTATTCATGCAGCGCAGGCTTGGATCGATTCTCGCAGGTCTCTGCAGTGGTACACCCTGCGCCCTTTGTGCTCCCTCCTTCCAGCTCGCTCCTTCCTGCTCACTTCCTCCTCCATCCTCCTTTCTCCATCTCCGAGAGAGGAGGGGGCGGCGTGGTCCACTGGCACCGCGGGAGGCACTTGTGCACGCCCGGCCCGCGTGCGCGATGCCGGCGGCCCTTCTGTGGCTCGTGCAGGGAAGCTCGGCCAGGGGGGCCTGGCAGAGCGTCCCGAGTGCGCACTGCCATGCCTGCGCAGCGGGAGGAGCGGAGGGGCGGGAGGGGAGGAGAGGCGTGGCGAGTGGACCTCTGGCGGGGACGGTCTGCCGCGAGGTGTGCGGCTGTGTAGCGCCCCAGGCACGGACCGAGGGGTGGCCGATCGGGCTCGCCAGGGCGTTGGGCCCTCCCACACAGTCGACAGCAACAGTGAGGATGGGTAACCTTCCCAAGTGTACCCTTGCACCCTTGCCTCTTCGGTCCATCCTTCACCACTTTCGATGGCGAGCCCCGCTCGAAAGGCTTCGACACGGGCGTCCACGGGGCTTGCATCCTTCTCGCACATCTCTAGACCGATGTGCGCGGCGCTAAGGTGGGAGTCACATTTAGCAAATGACCCGCCCTCCATGGAAATGGCTGCAACCTTTGAAAACAAATGTGCGCGGCGCTAATGCGAGGACCACCTTTTGAAAACCATCCGCCCTCCATCCTTGAAACTACGTAATGCAACTTCCAAGCTCCAGGATCATGAATAGCGAGGACGTCTAAATTGAAACGCCCGCCTTGCTCTACCTACGCGTCTGGGGGGGATAGACAGGAGTTATTAGTAAGCAAAGGGATGAGGATGATGATGAAGAGGAGGAGGAGGAGGAGGAGGAGGAGGAGGAGGAGGAGGAGGAGGAGGCGGAGGAGGAGAGGAGGAGGAGGAGGAGGGGGGAGGGGGAGGGGGAGGGGGAGGGGGAGGAGGAGGAGGAGGGGAGGGGGAGGGGGGAGGGGGAGGGGGAGGGGGAGGGGGAGGAGGGGAGGAGGAGGAGGAGGAGGAGGAGGAGGAGGAGGAGGAGGAGAGGAGGAGGGAGGAGGAGGAGGAGGGAGGAGGAGGAGGAGGAGGAGGAGGGAGGAGGAGGAGGAGGAGGAGGAGGAGGAGGAGGAGGAGGGGAGGGGGAGGGAGGAGGAGGAGGAGGAGGAGGAGAGGAGGAGGAGGAGGAGGAGGAGGAGGAGCAGGAGCAGGAGGAGGAGGAGGAGGAGGGGGAGGAGGAGGAGGAGGAGGAGGAGGAGGACGAGGAGGAGGAGGAGGAGGAGGAGAGGAGGCGGAGGAGGAACGAACGCCGCGTCCCAGCTGACCCAAGCTTGCCTCGCGTCAAAACGGAACAGGGGAGGAGGGAGGAGGAGGAGGAGGAGAGGAGGAGGAGGGAGGGAGGAGGAGGAGGAGGAGGAGGAGGAGGAGGAGGAGGAGGAGGAGGAGGAGGAGGACGAGGGGGAGGGGGAGGGGGAGGGGGAGGGGAGGGGGAGGGGGCGGAGGAGGAGGAGGAGGAGGAGGAGGAGGAGGAGGAGGAGGAGGAGGAGGAGGAGGAGGAGGAGCAGGAGCAGCAGGAGGAGGAGGAGGGATGGGGAGGAGAGGAGATGGGAAGGAGACGAGGTGGGAGGCGGCTGGAGGGGGAGGAAGATGCATGGCAGCGAGCATGGCAGCGAGGAGGTGCGGCAATAATCGTGATCGCCTCCAGCCTGACGCGCAAGTCCCGCCCGGCCTCGATCGACGTCACCAGGCCCCCCTCGTCGCCGAGCAAGGCGAGACCAGCGCAGGCGTTCTACAACTAGGCAGTCGGGGGGGACGATAGGAGAGTGGCAACGATGAGGTGGAGTAGGGACGGGAACGGGATACGAAGCTGGTAAGGGTGAGGAGGAGAATGAGCAGGATTATGTGAGTTCGAGGAGGATGAGAGTGGGCCGAAATGAGATGAGAAGAGACGAGATGTGGAATGGGGAACGGGGCGGGATAGGCCGATAGGCGAAGCCGAGGAGGAGGAGGCGGGACGTGGAGGAGGGGGGCTGGAGCGGGGGTCTTCAGATCTTACTCGCAGACTCGCGGGTACAGTCCCCACTGCCGCCTCATCGCGGTCTGCTGCGCCCAGTCCTGTTGGTGCGCCTCCTGCTTCGCAGGGTCCTCCCCCCGCTCCGCCCCGGTCTGGGCCAGGGGCTGCGGCTCGCAGGCCACGGGCGGCGGGATTGCAGCCGGGCATCCGGGCAGCCTGGTCCCCCGCGTGGCCGGGGTTGACGGGGGGGCTCCGCCAGCGTCGCCCTCCCCTGGCGCTCCCGTCCCTGCTGCCCCCTCCCGCGAGAGGGTTGGGGGCAGAGGAGGAAGGGCCGATGTTCCGGCACCACTACCAGAGGTATGACGGGGGAGAAGGGAGCAAGTGGAGGTCCTCCTCCTCCTCCTCCTCCTCCTCCTCCTCCTCCTCCTCCTCCTCCTTCGCCTCCTTCGCCTCCTCCTGCCCAGCAAGCAGTGGAGGTCCTCCTCCTCCTCCTCCTCCTCCTCCTCCTTCGCCTCCTCCGGGGGAGGAGGCTGGGCCCAGCAAGCAGGAGAGAGAGGCTGGCAAACGTGGAGTGCGGCGTGCGTACCCCATGTGCTGAGGGAGCTCCAGACAAGTCCATACCAGCGGCTCTTCGGTGACATCCCAGGGCCAATCAGACAAAACAGCCAGCGCAGAGCGGCAGAGGACATCTGCCGCATGGCCTGGCTCAACAGTGGAGTGGAGCGCAGGAGGACCCAGCAGCAGGACTCTCGCGAGGCGGCACGACGCAGGACCATGGCAGAACAGCTCCTCGGAGCGGTCACGCCACCAGCAGAACAAAAAGGAGGCCCAGCACCCCAGCGCGGTGAGGGGTTAGACCGCAACGGCCCCCAGCGTGGCGTGGGGCGAGACCATGGAGGTTCCAAACACGGTCAGGGGGGCAGATTGCACAGAACCCCAGCGTGGCGAGGGGTTAGGCCACAGCGGACCCCAGCGCGGTGAGGGGCTAGACCGCAGAAGGCCCCTGCGCGGCGAGGGGTTAGGCCACAAAGGACCCCTGCACGGCGAGGGGGTAGGCCGCAGAGGACCTCAGCGTGGCGAGGGGTTAGGCCACAGCCCTGCGCCAGACGGGATGCAGAGGGGTGCCCGTCCCCCACCAGCAGGACGGAGCACCACGGGCATGATTCACCATGACCTCTCCCAGGACGAGGAGAACAGCGAGGACAGCTCCCACCAGCCCGCGGACAAGCAGGACGGCGATGACAACCACCTGCAGATCCCAGATCACCAGAACAGCATCGGGTGCCACATGGCAGGCTGCAGAGGACCCCAGCGAGGCGAGAGGTCAGGCCACGGAGGACCCCAGCGCGGTGAGGGGCAAAACCGCACCGACCCCCAGCGAGGCGAGGGGTCAGGTCACAGTGGACCCCAGCGTGGTGAAGGGTTAGACCGCAGCAGGCCCCTGCGTGGAGAGGGGACAGGCCACCATGGACCCTTGCGCGGCGAGGGGGTAGGCCGCAGAGGACCCCAGCGCGGCGAGGGGTTAGGCCACAGCCCTGCGCCAGACGGGATGCAGAGGGGTGCCCGTCCCCCACCAGCAGGACGGAGCACCAAGGACATGACAGACCTCGACCACTTCCTAGACGAGGAGAACAGCGAGGATTGCCTCCAGCAGCCCGCAGACAAGCAGGACAGCGATTACAACCACCAGCAGATCCCAGAGGTACAGCACAGCAGAGGGTACCACCTGGCAGACCGCAGAGGACCCCAGCGCGGCGAGGGGTTAGGCCACGGAGGACCCCAGCGCGGTGAGGGGTTAGACCGCAGCAGACCCCAGCATGGTGAGGATTCTGGCCACGAAGGACCCCAGCACGGCGAGGAGGCAGACCGCAGAGGACCCCCGCGCGGCGAGGGGTTAGGCCACAGAGGACCCCAGCGCGGTGAGGGGTTAGACCGCAGCAGGTCCCTGCGCGGCGAGGGGTTAGGCCACGGAGTACCCCAGCGCGGTGAGGGGTTAGACCGCAACGATCCCCAGCGCGGCGAGGGGTTAGGCCACAGCGGACCCCATAGTGGTGAGGGGTTAGACCGCAGCAGGCCCCTGCGCGGCGAGGGGTTAGGCCACAGAGGACCCCAGCGCGGTGAGGGGTTAGACCGCAGCAGCCCCCAGCGTGGCGAGGGGTTAGGCCACGATTTTCCCCAGCGCGGTGAGGGGTTAGACCGCACTGACCCCCAGTGTGGCGAGGAGTCAGGACACGACGGACCCCAGCGCGGTGACGGGTTAGACCGCAGCAGACCCCCGCGCGGCGAGGGGTTAGGCCACCACGGAGCACCCCTGCGCGGCGAGGGGCTAGGCCGCAAGGCACCCCAGCGTGGCGAGGGGTTAGGCCACAGCCTTGCGCCAGGCAAGGAGGCCGCGAAGGCCCACGAGTCCAGGGACCAGCGGCCGGTGCGGTCCCTGGAAGAGCGCAGGGCGGAGGAGCGGCTGCGGCCGTCCATCAGGCTGCTCCTCAAGCTCTGAGAGGGCGGCGGCAGCAGTTTTTTCAGACTGCCGCCGCTCGCGGGTCGACTCCAGGAGTCTTCGAGTGGCGGCAGCAGGACGCCGTGAGATGAGGCCGCTGGCCCACCCCGCCTCGGGTGCGTTTCCCTGCGCGGGGTGCCGAGACCAGGGGCACCCACTCACGGGCGGGAACACGAGGGTTTAAACTCCTCCTCCTCCCTAGCCTAGCTAGAGTGGTGGTGGTGGTGGTGGTGGTGGTGGTGGTGGTGGTGGAAAATTGGCCCATCAGAGAAGGGGTCGAGGTCGGCGTTTGGGGCGGTCCTCGTGCCGTCTGGCTGGTGGCTGCCTTCCCGAGGGCCCAAAGGGCAGCTCTTGCTCAGGTTTCCGCCGCCGGCCCCCGGCAGAGGGAGGCCTGGCGGAGGGGCGAGGGGTGGGTGGGAGACGCGAGGTGAGTGTTTCTAGGCCTCCTACAGTCGGGGCGCTGAAGAAGGAGCCCTTCTCGTTGGGGAGGGGCTCGGCGTTCCTTGACTGTTGCGCAGTTTGCCTCAGGTTTCCCAAAGGTGTTTTCCATGGGGAGAATTGGAGATCCACTTTGGGGAAGAAGGGGCCTCGTTCCTTGTCTAGGGTTCCGTAGGCCACCGCCCCGACTGTAGATGGGGTCCGGGTAGATGGAGTCGGAAAATCGCCGCCGCATCGCCGATGCGTCGGCGATGCGGCTCGATGCGGAGTTCGATGTTCTCCGCGCCGACGGCGCCCGTGCATCGCCGATGCATCGCCGACGCATCGCCGACACTGCCGATACCTCGGCGATGCGGTGCAATCCTCCGACCCCATCTATACGTACTCCAGATTTCGTGATAAAAGGGAGGGGGTCTGGACCCTCCAAAACAAGCCATATCAGCCCCCCCCCGTGGGAGAACCCTCCAAAACACCGTCCCAAACCTCTCCAGGCCCTCCAAGATGGCCTGGAAGAGACCCCCCCCGAAATGAGACCCCCCTCCCTTTATTACGAAATCTGGAGTACCCCGTCGAGGAGGCCTCTAGGGTGGGAGCGCGGAGAGACGCAAGGTGTGTGTATGTTCCCCCGTGTTGCTGCGGCTCCTGCGCCCCCATTGCTCCCGTCGCCCGCTCCCGCTCCTGCGCCTCTTCTCCCCTGAGCTTCCTGCTCCTGCTGCAGAGGGAGGCCAGTTCGACCAATCACGACCAGAGACCAGCTGGCAACGGCCACTTTACAATAACAGCGACGCCTCCAGACAACGACCCACCACCCACACATCAAAAGCAACGATCACTTTTGTTATGAAGCATGTGTCCAGTCCCTGGCGAATTCTCACCTCCAGCCGCGATCGCTTGAGGCAATATCCACAGCTTACGAGCACGATTGACCGCACAACAACAATCCATCGCCCAGGTGGTCAAGCAGTCAAGCAGTTCCCAGAAGATAGCTCGCTTTCCCAGAAGACAGTCGGATCGGCATCCAGAGCTCCTCGCGAAAATCCAGGTCGGGCACGCTTTCCCAGAATACGGTCGGATCGGCATCCAGAGCTCCTCGTGAAAATCCAGGTCACCGTCCCGCAGTCACCATAAACGACACATGAGAAGTAAAGAGGCAGATCGCCCAGGGCGAAAACGACGTCCAGTCCGGCGCCCATGCGGGCATTCTGCCCGACGAGCCGTCCGACGTTCCGCCTGAAGTCCTAGCCGACGCCATCCCCAACAGCGCACTAGGAAGCCCGGAACTAAGCCAGAAACGGTATTTACCCACAACTTTCTAGGCTTCCGAGATGGGGTCGGAGTAGATGGGGTCGGAGGATCGCGCCGCATGGCCCATGCATCGGCGATGCGGCTCGATGCGGAGCCCGAGTTGCTCCACGTCGACGTTGCCGATGCATCGCCCACGTCGACGATACATCGCCGGTGCATCGCTGATGCCTCGCCGATGCATCGCTGATGCATCGCCGATGTATCGGCGATGTGGCGCGATCCTCCGACCCCATCTACTCTGACCCCATATAGGAGGCCTCTAAACACATGCCCTTGATACTTCGCGTATCTCCGCCAGTCCTTTCAGAAGGAGCCTAGGCGGTTTGTCGCGAGAGGGCGCTGTTGAAGGAACATGGGCACCGTTCGGACCAGAAGGGGGACTGACCCAAGCAACAACCAGGACTCCAAGCCGAGGGCTTTCAGGGGCCTCGCAGAGGCCTCGTGAGCCACCTTGGGGCCCTCTATGGGCGTTCGGGGTGCCCGTGGCGCTCTCTTTTTTGGGGAAGCTCCCACTGAAGTTCAGGAGGGAAACAAAAACACACACAGA